CTTATAAAAGCACGGATGACCGCGATTGGCCCATATGTTGTAGTCTTTTGGACGCTGAGTCGATTGGTTTTGGTCCGAAAAGGCTGCGATGCAGCGTTCCTCCGTTATTCCCAATCGAACATGGTTGAACAAGCGGTCACGTGCTCCTGCGTACACCAGTCACCTGGTCACCGTGCCTGCAGGGTACAACTTACTAGCCTGTTTGACCTTTTTTGGGTGCAGTCCTGTCACTCGAGTTGAACCTTGGTGTGACAGTTGTCGCCTGCTGGCGTGGTGACCAGGTGATTTGGGCACCCAGGAGCACGTGACCGCTTGTTCAACCATGTTTGATTGGGAATAAAGGAGGAACGCTGCATCGCAGCCTTTTCGGACCAAAACCAGTCGACTCAGCGCCCAAAAGACTACAACATATGGGCCAATCGCGGTCATCCGTGCTTTTATAAGAACGAAATGGCGCTTTTAGTGACATTTTGCATACAAATCCCCATCTAGTAGGGCGCAGTCACCCAGTTTCGGTGGAAGCGCGCGAGTTCGATTGGGATTCAAGTAGGAAGGGAGCGTCTCAGCTTTCTCGGACCAAGACCATTTGACTCAGCACCCCGAAGACTACTACTGGTGAAATTTTGATTTTAGCCTTAACTTCCCCTTTGATAGTGTCGGAGAGATTTTATCGTGCATGGTGCCGCGAAATTTGAAACTTGAAAAAGGGTCCCGAAAGGTATCTCAAGAGTTCGAACCACACAATTTTGAAAGTGGAGTGAAACGGCCTGGATTTACATGGTTTTTCGGAACTTTTTCCAAATTCAGAGCTTTTGGGGCAAACCCTGGGCGGAATCCTATTCTTGTTACTGCTTGCTATTTTATAGAAATAGACTTCAGAAACAGACGAGCGCTCCATGGGGGATTCCAAAAAATTGTGAAAAAAACTCGAAATTTATGTCCAAAAGCTAGGATATCTTTTTCTGAATGGACTGGAAGTGTTACTGTACATGTATTGTATTTCCAGGACATCTTTGGCTTAGTCTTGTCTCTTTTGGTTTTGCTTGTTTGGAATGTTGCATTGCAGCTGCGTTGAAGGCTCTTCAAACTCCAATATGGACAGCACAGGGTTTTCAAGCACCTTATATCAATTGTCACCTTTTTTAAATCTTGGGTGAAGAACCTGTGCTTCCCAACATAACTAACTGTACTCTCTGTTTCACTTGTTCATGCCTGGTGAGTGCAAGGTGAATGCGGGCTGTGAGAATCATGTGACATTCACAATCAGCGTCGTGAGTGCAAGGTGAACTTTCTCTTTACCTCTACAATCTAGTATAGTGTCATTAGTATGGTGGAACCTGGGCCCTGTTGGTATCGTGGAACCTGGGCCCTGTTGGTTTTCTACCTGTGAGTGACCGCGTTCGTCGTACGTCTACTTGAGTAGTGTAGAACACTTTGGGGAGAGGAAGACGCAAATCTACGGTACAATATTTGGTGAAGACAACACGCACAGAGACAGCAGTGGTATACTCATGTGCCACACGAATGCCTCACAGTGAATTCAGCAGTACCATAGGACTTTGAAGTAATTATCATACAGTAATCTCCCGTAGAAGCACAGTCTCTGACATGAGCTCATTGTGTCCTCTTCGAAGAGCTATTCACGCATTCTTCGTTACAAGTTCGGGCTATTTATCCGGGAACAGATTTACAGTACTTGTACCATGTTATCTCTATTACACTGTCCCCCGTTAATTCCGCGGATTGCAGAATTTCTGCAGAATCCAGACGTGTCCGCAGAATTCAGAAAATCCCGCGGAATATTGCAGAAAAGAGAGAAAAAACTGCTTTTTCTGGAGACTTTCAATGTATTTTCACAGCCAAACTAACCTGCTTGTGACTTTCAAAATCAACTGGTAGTATATTTCAGAGCTTTTTTTTTTTTTTAACTTGGTAAACCGGCCTCTTGTACGGGCAGAATTTAGTAACACAGTGATACAATAAAAACAAGTACCAGTAGTTACATACATGGACCATACGAGAAAAAGCAATGATGACGAGGCATAAACAAGTGTCTAGTGCTGTATGGCAGCTTCCGAGACAGCGAGTCGAGCGGATGACTCAGCCACCTCCGGGTGCGAATACAGCCGTCGTGCACCACGCAGGCAAGCCACGCCTGCACGGAGAAGGGCGAAGCTGAACCTGCAGCGGATCCATGCCATCACTGCAGAGTATGGCTCACCAGATTTGTCGGAGACCATTGCAGCTATTCTCTTGAGGAGAGCGGCAGCAGCTCGACCAGTACCACCAGTTGCAGCGAAAACCACAGGGATGAAGGTTCCACGCTCGACCTCCTTGACGCGCTGTTCGTATCGCCTCCGTTTTTCACGTTCATGACGCTGGTAGCAAGCGGTGATGGAAGAGGATCGATTTGAGGGAGCAAAGGGGTTGAAAACCCGAATATCGAGAAAGACTCTCTCAAACCGACCTCCCCAAACACCACTCGCCGCAACATCAAGTCGAGCCTGGTCTTCTGTGGAGGCAGTCTTGTAGCGGAGCTGCTCACCAGAGAGCGGTTGTAAGTGTGGCTCGATAGCGACACTATTGGCGACACGTTTCAATAGCGAGGCAGTGATGTCCCGCACCTCATTGTGTCGAAGTGACGGGAAACCGCCGGTGCTGCATGTCAGGGCATGGGCTACTGTGAAGCTGGCTCCACAGACACAGGTTGACGGTAAGCGAGAAGGCCGCCAGCCATAGCGCAGTGCCAAACCATCGCGGAACTCGCTTTTGGATAGCACAAATCCATGACGGGATAGCGGACGACAAGTAAGCCAGCTGGAGGCGCCAGGCTCACTTGCCAACTGAATTGTGTGCTGCAAAGTGGGCGATGCGTCGGCAGCGAAGCCACGGATGTCGGTCTTCGCTTTCTGGCGGTGATCTGCACGCTGTGACGCTTTGGCTGAGGCAACGCTGGCAAGAGCTTCCGTCACACTGAAGTCATGGTCGAGGATGTTGGTGGTGAGCGCCGCTGTGATCGCGTGGGATGAGGCGTATTGGGTTGTTAGAGATGTTGGATTGACGATGCCCAGGCCACCATCCCGGCAAGGGAAGGCAAACAGCCGTCGCAGCTCCAGACTGACTTCTTCTCCAGTCAGGGCTGGCAGCAGCTTGGTAACAATGGCGTGTTCCAACTGATCAAGACCACTGGACGCATCCGGCAGAACACGACACAAGAATGTCCAGCGGCATGAGAGAGCACGAACAAAAGTAGTGTACGCTGCCTGGGGCTGGGTACGAGCGAAGGATGAGAGTGTCTCAATCTGCTTGCACCATTCATTGGCCTTCTCCTGGATGAACCCGTGGATGTAGTCGGGCGTGCCAATAGCGGAACCCAGGTAGCGGTTGCCGTCAGATGTTACTTGGATGCCAGTATCAGCGAAGAGGCGCACTGCGTCGTCGTAGGCATGTGGCTTGACCACAAGCACAGACTTCCGGGCATTGAGGTGATATCCGTAGGACGGACCTTCAGCCTGCAGCTTGTCCCACCACGATCGAATTGCTACCAGACGACCACCTGCAGATGAATCGTCCGCGTACCATAGCTGGCAGGTGTCCGGGGTTGCTACCGCTCTCACGAGTGGGAGGATGCCGAGGGCATAGAAAGGAGCTTTCAATTTTTTCGACCAGCATTTCGCATAATTTTGGTTCAGAATTTATAGGGACAACAAACTTCGGTGGGGTTGCGGAAATTCGACCTGTTTTTTTACGCTCATTTTCCTTGCAGAATTGCCGCAGACTAGAGAAGGATTTGCAGAATTAGCGCAGAATTTACTGTATTTAGCCCCAGAATTCTGCACGGAGTTTCTGATATTCTGCCGCGGAATTCACGGGGGACAGATTCAAGCGCAGTCCCCAATATGAATACAAGCGCAGGGCTTACATGACGTACATGTATATGGGAGAACTGTATGAATCATGTTCATGCATGTTTGACGTCACACAGTCAGTAGATCTACAGTATCACAGAGCCAGAGGTTGTGGGGCAAGTCTGTGATTGCCCAGATAAGAAGACGCTGAAGTGCACGTGTAGCAGGAAGTACAAAACTGCATTCACGGTACCTGCTTGGGGTCTAACTAATTACTTTGTCCTGGTACAGTATAATAAAAAGCAGGGAGTCTGATAAAAAGTAATAGCCAATGACTATGTACATGTACCAACTGGTTAATATAATTATAGTGGTTGGAAAAATAAGCCTGGGGCTTATAAAATTTAATGGAGATAATAGGGTATATGGACACACACACACACATGCAGTTTTGGCCAAATGTTCATCAATGTATTTAAAACAAGTATTATTCTGTTCAAATTCTGTGAATGTGTAGATATTGTCTATGCAAATTGGAAGGCATTCTGCGAGTTAAAAAATGGGGGTCTTGAGGGTTTTCAGAAATTCCGATATTTGAACTTCAATATTACAAGGAACAGATATGGGGACCTCCAAAATTTATCGCAGATTCTAAATCAACGTGATTTGCGAATTACATTGAAGACATTTTTTGGTGAAAAAGTGACCACAAAACTGTGGGGCAGTCTGGTGAAAAATTTAAATTTCAGGGTCCTTAGAGTTTGGGGCCTAGTCCAAAGAGAACCTCGGGGTAGGATGCATACCGGTAGCTGCATTCTTGCTACCGTATTTCCCCGTAAGTTAGTTCTCCCCAATGACTTAGTACCCCCTATAAAAAATACACTTTCCACTGCCGAGGTTATCACCCCGAAAGACAGTTCCCCCCGAAAGATAGTAAGTTCGTACCCGTCCTACATGTACAGACACCGTACAGTACATACATCATATGCACGGACACTAGAGTTGCGCAGGCTTCCCACTGCGTGTCATTTACCCCCGATAAAAAGGCACTCCCCGAAAGTTAGTACTCATGTGGCTGCTAAGTTCGAAAGTAAGTTAGTACGTACTAACTTACGGGGAAATGCGGTAGTATCTTAACCATCAAAGAAGGCATTATTAACAGTCAAAGTTCTCTTGGTAACATTTACATTGAACTAGGCAATGTCAAAAAGCGTCATAGGATTGATCACATTGGAAATGCTGGAAACGGAGGAATGTTTCATGAGAGTTTGTACTGGTATGTTTTGACAACTATTTTGCAGTCTCGTACGTTAAAAAAATTATGGATGAAGGTATTGTGAAGTTACAGCTATGAGAGCAGAGAATACTGAAAAAGAATATTTGATGCAATGGAGTTTGATTGGCGACGTGCCTAAAGGGGCCTCAGTGCAGCGGAGGATACTGGAGAATGTAAAACGGGGTTCAGAAACGGTAGTCGGAGTAAAAGTAAATGAAACAGAGAGAATACACACGCCATGTGAAGAATTTACCACAACAGAAAAACAGTACTGGGAGCTGTTGACAGATTGTTTCCCTGAAATGTATTGTATGATGATTTGCAATGGATGACATCATTCGCAACCACCGTCATGCGATCAAGCCAAGCCTCCACCACACCCTGCCGGCGGGGGTCCATCGCCTGGGCGTCGCTTTCTATCCTTCAGCTGGTCGAAGAAACGGCGTATGTCCTCATCAGACACAGTCTATACAGTACACCAGTCCCGAAACACACATGTACGCATGCACACGCCCATGCAAACATACAGTTGCGCTCCCTGAAATCCGACCCAATGTGCAAAACTGGCACCCTCAACTTGCACGGCCCTTGACGCCCTGGTAGTGGAATGAATGCGGCTGGACGTACACATGTACACCCACAATGATGTAATCGGAACTGGTCCAGGGCGCCAGCTTTGCACTTTGGGTCGAATTTCAGTGAGCGCAACTGTACATGTAGTAGAGTTTCAAAGCAATGCAAAGCAATGAACATCATAATACTTTCATTCAATCGCCTGCATGGACTGCAACATAATTATTGTACACGTTCTGAAGAAGGATTGCAAGCGCTGAGCACCACCACATACCTTGCCAGAGTCAGCAAATGGCTTGAGGAAGGCTGTCAGTTCAGATTTCATATTGTTGTACTCTATAAGCATAGACAAAATGGACGAATGCGTGTACTTGTATGAAATACTAGTACAGTCGTCCCTCTCTAATCCGGCACTTTATAAACCAGCACCCTCTATAAACCAGCACAATTTTCAGTAGCCAAATGTCCTCTTCATGCACATTGCAGCAGTAGATCAGATTTGTTAATCCAGCACCCTCCCTAATCCAGCAGATTTCCGTGGCACAAATGGTGCCGGATTATAGAGGGACCACTGTACGCATGAGAACAGGCATACACCAGGTTTAGCAGGATGGATGTACTTTTTCAAGCGCATACTCAGCCTACTCAAGCTCAACTGATGAAGGGCGAATTCCCCAAAACATTGTGTATCGAACAGGGAGTGGTGCTTTCTTCACGTTTGCAGAGTCGATTGTTCGATGGACTTCTCGCATGCTCTGGATGGTAGTTGTGTCAGTCAAGTAGGCGGAAAAGGTGTGAGCTCCAGTGTGGGGAGCAACCAACTTCCTTCCCAATATGTGCATGCTGTATGCTAAGCAGGAACATACGGGCCAAGACTCGTGTGATTCAACTGTTTTCCGCATAGATTAAGCAGCAAACCGAAAACCATTGATTGAAAAATACATTGCATCCAAACCCTAATGCAGGATTCACAAAAAGCCTTTTGACAATCACATGGTTGTGATGTGCAAAACGCGGATAGACAGAGAGCCAGATAGAGGGAGAGAGAAAGATGGACGGACGGACAGACACAGAGAGAGAGAGAGAGAGAGAGAGAGAGAGAGAGAGAGAGAGAGAGAGAGAGAAAGAGAGAGAGAGAGAGCACCCTGACCCATCGAAAAACTGCAGCTGTATGTTAGTCGCACAGACCTGTGCTCATTTCCACTTGCTGAACAACAGGTAGACTACTTAGTGCCTCAACACCCTGGTCTTCCAACGATCCAGTTGAATGACCCGACGGTGAGTTGGCCTGTCCCAGCTCCTCATATGCCGCTGTTGTGTCACTGGCATCCGGCAGGAACAAGATATTCAGCTCCTCGTACATTACCTGTGTAAACAAACAAGATACAGACACACCTACGCGTATGCACACAAGCATTGTTGCCAGCACAAAACAGTGCCGAGTGATACCAAGAGTGCATAACCGCCGGAGAGCATGTAACTCTGCATGGGTTAGCTATGGGGTCCACTGACAGCGAAAGCGCACGTCAAGTGGCGTGGTGTTCATATTATACATCCCCAGTCTGTCTCTGGGATGCGAAGCCCCATAAATGATATCTGCATGGGGGTGCTCATGCATGTTTGTTGTACTTTTAATATGGTTCATATTTCCAATTTTCGACACCCTGTACGTACAACAAAAGGCGACACCACGTAAAAATCATTTCTGGGGTCTACCCATCCCAAAGAGCAACTTGGAAAGAGGAGATCAACACGTTAGAATAAGTTAGAGCACACAGTGTAAAGTAAGTAGGTGGTGCGTAGCTGTATTTCAAGTACCGACATACCAAGCACTTAGCACAAGAGCACAGCTCCAGTCTCCAGTCCTCGCGGAAGTAACTGGCTTTATCAATGGTCTTGATGCCATCTGGCAGTGGACGACGCACTTGTCTATACTCCAAATCACATTGTCGCTCTGATGACTCGAAGGAAGAATCGAGAACATCAGTGCTTGCATCGGCATTGGCGCCTGCTGCGGCACTACCAAGATCAGCAGAGGAAGCTGAAGCAGATGCAGTGCTAATGCCAGTGGAAGTGGTGGTAGCTGTAGTGGAACCATTGGCATCTCCACCTGCATGCGTATCATGCAGATCGCTATGCATGGAGTAATAGTGCAGGAACGGACATCGCTTCACACAGGCATCGCACACCATCTCTTCATACTCATCAGGTACCGGGCGTCCAAGGTGCTATGGCAGTGAAAACGACAAAGAACACACGACCACCCACAACCACATATGGCCGCACACAACCACAAACACGGACAGACAAGCAACAAAGCACACACATACCGGTACATTGATTTCAAGGGCATTCCTACACTACTGGGGGGGGGGGGGGGGGTACTATACCTTTACCAGACAGAGCCCAGAGAAGCAAGAGAAATGCAATCAATTATACTAAGCACCATTACTACAATCCATTCCGAAAAAGATGATTATTTTGCTTCTGGTCATAAATAGGTCAGCAGTTGACCTTTTCAAAATTGTTTTTGCTGGGGGTGAAATGAATTTTAGAACGTTCGATTAGGTTCGTTCCAAATGGGAGTTGAAGAGAATTCGATTCGCTACTTCAAAGTGTCGAACGTTCGTCGATGCATGCGTAGGTACATGTACATACAGTGCCATGCTTGTACTGCAAATTACAATGTGTTATGTATATCATGCAGAGCTCAGCCAGCCACCATCGGCCAGAGGTCCCCATTACAGGTAACAGCACCAATTCAGAAAAGAGAGTGATTGCAGATTGTCCAATTCTTGGTTGTTTTACGAATGTGATGGAGTGCTTGTGTGGACATTTGCGGGGGCTTTATTTGTGACGAATAGTTCGTGAGTTCACCAAACGGAACGTACAGTTCGTCAGAATGTTTCGTTCGCCTCTCTTGGAGTTCGTTTCAGCCCTAGTTTTTGCCATGCACTGTGCTCTTCCAATTATGTTCTTGGTGTTTGTCCACTTCTACAAAAACTCGGATGTTGAGCCAATAGTAATATGGAAAGAGAAAATGACCTACCGTAGTAACGCACATATAGGCGCATGCGCCTGTATTCGGATATAAGCGCACTCTCACTTATAAGCGCATGCTCTTATAAGCGAAGCACTACCAAAATTATCACTTTGACACAATCACGGATAAAAGTCTGTAAACAGCATACAGGAACCATGAAACTGACACTACAAGACCTAGTCAAACACAAAGATTCTGGCAAACGAACTCTGATCGTGCATGCGCGTTTAGGTGAAAATATTTCATTTTTGAAAATTGGATTCGTAGCAAAAATTCACTTATAAGTGCATGTGCTTATATTTGCGTTAAATACGCCGTATAAGTTACTAGTTATGATTAACGCTAACATGGGGCTAGGTGTCAGGTCGTCGAATGTCTCAATATCCTTGTCAGTTTTGTGCCTCGTTGTCGCACTATCTGACTGTATGTTATCTCGTTACCTTGGTGGACTGTTAGGTTACGTTTGGTTGGTCACATTCCCAAATGGGAATCACTTGGAATCACTCGGAATCATTCTCGCCCGTTTGGTTGGTCAAGAAAGTGCGTTAGGTTGGTCACATTCCACATGATTCCAGAATGGGAATCGCTGAGAATGATTCTTTTTGGAGAATGATCATTCCACCTCACATGCTGGAATGAGCATTCTCATTCCGGAATCAAAAATGATAATGGCTGCCACGAGCCAAACAATGTAGCAACAGGTTCAAGTGCCTCAAGCCATCAGTCATAACTAGTAACGTATAGGTCCTTTTCTCTTTCCATTCTTCTACAAAAGGTGGATATATCCCATAGAGAAAGTGATGCCCCTTGACACCTTGGTGTGGAAGCGGTGCATGACTAGCTAGCGCTATAGTTTAGTGTAAGGCACAGATTTTGTTCCACTGGACCTTGTGTGTATGTATGTGTGTGTGTTGACAATGCTGAACGTAGCAACTAGTGAGACGCCATCAATGCCGTATCTGCATGTTTGGGGGGTGCTGGCTGGCAGCGATGAACTGCAAGCCCACCCTTACTTCAAAACCATCGGCAGCAACTGCTGCAATCGCTGCTTCAAATCCCGGGCTGGTTTTAACCGCCATAGCTGCAACCGTGGAAAACGTCTTGCTGCAGCCGATAGGGAATCACTGCCGCTGATCTGCATGCATTGCCCAAAGCGTTACCGGCGGCGGCGAGACTTGGCGAGGCACCAGAAGTCCTGCCAATGACGGTGCCCTCCGGGGGTGACATTGCCCAATGGGCAGTCATGCTATAGTAGTACTCAAGTAGTATAGTAGTGTGTGTGTGTGTGTGTGTGTGTGTGTGTGTGTGTGTGTGTGTGTGTGTGTGTGTGTGTGTGTGTGTGTGTGTGTGTGTGTGTGATTACCATGTATGAACGAGTACTCTGATTTATTCCGACTACGATTATTGTTGAAAAAAACGAGCGAGTAATCGAGTATTCGGTATAATTGTGTCACCCCTAAATTTGAGTTAACATTCCTTTTTTGAATCATGAAAGTGTTTGGAACATTATTCCTTGTTGATGCATTCAACGCGTTCTAGTCATTTTCACCTTCATGCTATTTTTGACCCGCTGCATGCCCTTTCCCCAACTTTTGTAGTGTGATGTAAAATGAAACCCATGATTTTCCCGGATCTAGTTGCCGTCGTTTACCTTTTTCCCTGAATCAACCCATGAAGAGGGAACGAAAACGCGGTTCAACCCTTTGGATACATTCTTCTAGACTGGCGTGGATTGCGTCAATGCATGTACATACAATACGTCCGGATTTGGAGCCGCTTCCAATTTGTTCTAAATTCTAAAACACTTCCTTTATTCTGCACATGCTGCAACTACAGTGCTGCTCAACGAAATCCAGTCGCGTCACTCAAGTTTGCGCCTTGCATCATTCCGCAGCCCAATGTTCGCAGGTCTAGAGCTGCGCAACGCCCGGCGTGTGCTTGAGTGACGCTACTGGATTTCATTGAGCAGCACTGTACATGTAAGTCAACCAGGGTCCTTGTGGTTGGTGCGCCAGTTGTTCTTTTCAAAAAGTTTTTACTGGCATAATTGTTTCTTGTCTCCATGTATTAACGCTATTCATTTATTCTCATCCCTGAATACTACTCATTAGTTACCCTGTACTTACTCTCTCATGGAACCAGTCTTCACATACAACGCATTGTAGCATTTGATCATCCACGACCTGCAGTAGAAAATGGAATCACAGGAGACATGACCGTATGGGGATAGCTCTCAGCACATTTATGGACTTCATTTCATACACCCGGGGAAAAGAAAAAAGGAGCATCATATTATAACACGTAGTATGTAGGTGGCCAGTGTCGGAACTATACATGCCAAGGCCAAGTAAAAAAAATCCTAGTTTATCGTCCCCGCCCGCCCCATTTTTCGAGGCCGCCCGGAATTTATTTTTATTTTTTAAATCTAGAATTTTGCCAAAAAGCTTGATTTTTTACGTCGGCTAAGGCTTGAAAACACAGCTTCGTCTTTCTGCCGAAAGTCCGTCTTCATCCTGTCGAGACCTCGACAGTTTTCCGTTCTTTCCGTAGTTGCGACTTTGTTGAGAAGCGACATGCCGTTTGTTTTGCTGCAAATCCGTCGCGGGTTGAAAGTTCTGAAGTCCTGGTATGGCTGTGTTGTCTCTGCGTCTTCAACTCTCTCGGACATTTTCACCCAGTTCAGCGCTGGCGAGTTGGACCATGGGGAGCGCCTTGAGGAGAGCGACGTTGTCTCTTGTGTCCAAGCTAGTGTTGGCGACACAAAGCAAGGTTCCAAAACCCCTGTGAGTCCAGATTCGCCAGTAGGCGAGACTGTCAGCGCTCTTGGGCAATACGTGGAATTCGTTATCGCTTGCCCTGAACAGGCAGCGACAGCGACAACACAGGAGAGAACTCCGTCTGGTGACGCTTTCGCTATGTTGATGGCTGCGTCGAAGACGCAGTGTGCTCTTCCGCCGAAATGGAACCCTGTCAACAAGAAAGCTGTGCTGAAAAATGATCTTCTGCTGTTCTTGGAGGAGAACAAGTTGGGCTGGGAAGAGGCGCTTGCTGGATCAGCTGGTGTGAACTTCGTAGGAACAATCAGTGATGCATTGTGGTATATCGATGGCAATCACCACACCTTGTCAAGTCGAGGTTGTGCAGTGCCTGCATTGTTGGAGAAGTTTGTTGGGTACAACACGCCGGAAGATCGCAAAAGGAGAAAGCGGGACCAGTCGAACCTGTGCCGCCAGAATTTGGATGCGTTGTTGTCATCCCTGTTCTTCTTGGCTGGCTGCTCCTACAGGAAGCACCAGCACTGGAAAAGTGTCCGGGAAGCTGTGTTGAGACTTGCTGACAACTTCCGCAAGTATGCTGCGTACCTGAAAGCGCATCTGGATACAGTCTACACCAGTGAAGCCAAGCGTACCTGCGTGAGAACTGACGTGGATGAGCTGAAGGTGATTGGGGCGACTCTAGTCGTGAAGCCAACTCTGGGTGCGAGATATAGAAGTCTGCACGCCGCTATATCTGCTGCTGAGGATTATGAACACATCCTGATTGAGGACCATTGTCCTACTGAACATCGCCGGAGACACGAGTACCTGGAGGGGATAATTGTGCCCGTCAAGTGCGTTCTGTATTCGTACACTGGCAGCAAGGCGCATGTGCATTTGATCTGGCGTATTCCAGAGTGTGCTGAGGAATCTGAGCTCCTGCAAAAGAATTCCGCCATCCAGCAACAGCTCAAATCCTGCATGCCAACATTCCACACTCGCATTATGCGAAGGGAATTCATCCATCTGTTTGGCTCTGTGACGAACACCAAGCCTGCATTTCTGCGGGAGGTGTACAGAAGGCTCACGGGAGATGCGAGTGCCAGTACAAACGCAGACCAAGCAGCAGTGGACAAACGAATTGCAGAAATGTTCGAAACAGAGGATGCAGACCTCATCTGGGATTTGCGCACTGTGAACAGCAGTAGGCCCGAGTCATATACTGCTTTTCTTGAGCAATGCCAGCAATACATTGAGAGCTCCGTGGAGACTGCAGTTGATGACCGACGGCATGACAATGTGGAAGAAGACAACACTGTCATTACTCACCTTGCCAAGGCCTTGAGCGTCAGGGATATGCACGAGGAGGTCACTAAGCGTTGCCCTCCAGACACACCCATCCCGTCAGTGCAATGGCTCCGGTATCAGTTCTGGCCGAGAAATCCTGCATTGGCTACAGCTCGCCACTACACGGGCAAACTCGAAGTAAAATTCATGGTTCAATCACGTCAGTTCCGGACAGCTCACATTGACTGCCACTACGCCAGCGCTCTGTTTCGCTATGAACGGGAATTTGCTGTGCAGTTTCGTGATCATGTGTGCTTTGTATGCCAAGATGACAAGCACACAATCAAAGTTGGAGAGCCTGGGCATCCTGTGGCAGCAGTAGATCGAGGCAAGCCGGTTCTGGTTGGGCTGAATGAAAAACTGGTAGTTTCGGACCACGATTTCACGAAGTTCAATCTCACACCAAGCGTGAATCTCATTGTGGATGTGCCAGAATCCATTGATGACTCCTTCTATCGCGGAACAGTCCACGTGGGCTTGAAGGACTGTGTATTTCAACATTCCTCTCCATCGCGCCATGGTTGCGAGCTCCTGAGTATCCTGCAGAAAGGCGATGTAAAACCTATCCTCTGCATGTACACCGATGGCGGGCCCGACCATCGTCCAACCTACCTCTCCACGCAGTTGTCCCTCCTGTCGCTGTTCATCAAGCTCGACCTAGATTATGTCTGTGCTGTTCGAACACCCCCGTACAACTCTTGGAAGAATCCGGTGGAGCGCATCATGTCGATCTTGAACATCGCTTTGCAGGGTGTCGGTGTAGTTCGGAATGAGACCACTTTCGAGAATCAACTGAAAGGCTGCAACAACATGAAGGACATCAGGAATGCTGCCGTGAAGACCCCTGGCCTGAAAGATGCAGTGCTGGATGCAATGGAAGATATGAAGATCTTGATTTGCTCGCTGTTCCAACGCCTTCGCCTGACGGGTGTACCATTCCAGTGCTTTCATGCTGCCACGGACGAGGAGGTTGAGGCTTTTCGTGACACCGTCAAACTCATCGACCCGTCACTGGATACCAAGAGTACCACCAAGCAGTCCATTTCAAAGAACAAGGTACTTCTGACATTCCTGGAAGAGCACTGCATTGCCCGGCATTACTCCTTCACCATCCTGAAGTGTGGCAAACCAGCATGCTCAGTGTGCAAGCCTCCGCGACTGCCAGAGGATGTCTTCTCGAAGCTGCATCACCTCCCAGACCCTGTACCTGATGGCGAGCGGTACAAGAGCTTTGATGCTGTATATGGCGAACCAACATCGGAGAAGCACAGGCCATCTCTGGTTGCAGCAAGCCAGTCAGCCTCTGGTGGTCATGGCATGCCATTCCCGCCCAGCGCCCAGTATGCCAAGAATGTCAAGGAGGTCATCAGGTGCTCCGAGTGTGGCAAGCCTCGTGTTCTGTATGCCAAGCAGAGCGTCAAGTCAGCAGCACGTGTGGAACTGGTCGCGGCCTTGGAGACCCTGAGCTTCTCCTGTGGCAGTCATCTCACGGATGTAGCTTGCGAAGTCACCAGTGCCCTGGCTTCCGTGCACGTCAAGGGAAATCTCACATGTGACAGTCCTATTGAGATCCCGTACTACTCTGCTGGGTATCCCACTGTATGCTGCTACTGCGCTTCAGGAGAGGGTCTAGTCAATAATGCCGATGCGTATCCTGTGTGTGGTGCTTGCCAGGAGTCTGGGAAGAGCGCCATGAAGAAGCGTACCCGCACGCATGTCCCTCAGGGGAAGAAGTGAATTGTATTCCAACATGTTCCCTTTATGACTGACTATTGGTTACTGTCCTGACTGGTTCTTTCCCTTCTGCAGCTTTCTATCATTTATCTGGTGGTCTGTGTGAACCAAACAGTATTGGGGTTTGTGTCTTATGAGTGGAGTGACAATCTGTCGATCCAAAGATTTTGCATGTAATTGTTTATGTACATATAACTGTTATAGCATTGTGTATTCCATACACTACCACTATTCTGTTGCAGATTGTTGCACATGATGTGTCATTGTTTACCAAGAACTATACTAGTCTGTAGCACATCAAAAAATAAAAAATAAAAATAAAATCCGCCCTCCCTCCCCGATTTTTGTGAAAAAAAGGACGATAAACTGGGATTTTATTTTACTTGGCCCAAGACTTGTGAAAAAGACCGCCAGAAAAGAGGACAGTACATGTACGGTATTCTCTGGACTATAAGCCGCATTTTGAACATTCAAAATTCACCCAAAAAGGGACGGGGAGGGGGGATGCAGTGCGGCTTATACTCCGATGATCAAGTCAACGGTGATAAATACGGTAGATGTCTGTATCTCGTGGCAAAAACAATAGGGGTGCGGCCTATACTCCAGAAAATACGGTACATGTACATGTACTTTCAAGGTCCTTTACAGTACTGTAAAAGCCATTATTCTAACGAGCCGCATATATAATGACTTCCCAAAATTGACTAGTTTACGTGTACCAAAGGCAACGATTCTCACTCAATCTCAACGCTCAATAGGACAGTATATGTATAGATTTCTATTTTAACGACAGATTTCTCCTCGTTAACTCGTTAGAGTTAGCACTTCGTTATATATATATGGCTTTTACAGTAATCCGGTGACAAGGAAGCCAAACAGAATGGCCTTGAAGCATATACCAAATGTACATTGAACATTTGTACTGGCATCAAAACAGAGAACACCCGCAAATACACCGGTGGCTGACTTACACTGTCATCCAGTGGTTCTAAGTCAGGATACGGCCGATCGCAGGTACAGTACTTGCCAAGGAAGTTGTGATTGTACGTGTTGTTCTCATTCTCAGGCTTCTTGTCCTGTCTCGGAAAACAATGGAGCATGCAATAGGCAAACCGTACGTGGAGTCCAGCATTCCCACCAGTAAAGCAAACCACACTATCTTTTTTGAAGTAGATTCAATGACTTGCAAATACATGCACATGAATATGTGAAGAACTAAGAACAACCACCATTTTGTTCTCCAAAATTGTGATTGATATTACACCATTCCCCAGCTTACAAAGCTGAGTACATGACCACTACTGAAGTACTATTTCGGCCCAAAGCACAGACAATAGAAATAGCCCAGCTGCTTTTAAAGGAGGGGGAGTGGGACTAGATCAAGGCTGATAAGTTCAGTATGATCTACAACAGTGCGAGAGGTTAGACTTGCCATGTTGCGTGCGTTGTGCACAGTTCCATCCACCGGAATACCTGCACTGGCACGTGTTGCGTACAGAAGTGCATGCATCAGGGAAACACCGTATATTGACGAATACGCTGAAGTCGTTCACAGGTAGGAAATCCCCAACCAGAGGGTGGAAATTACAGAGTGGTTGCATCAATGATACACTGTGGTAGTTGTGGATGGAACAGCCGAGAAAAATTACCAACACACTTACAGGGTATAAGCGACAGCGGAAGTCATCAAACCGAGAGTTGCCACAATCGCAACAGAAATCTCTGAAGAGAGAGAGAGAAAGAGAGAGGGGGAGGGGGGGGGGGGGAGCACGCACACACATACACAGACACACACAAATTATCATGCCATCAATACTCATCACTAAGCTTGGACACTAAACAAAACACACGTACCAATGTAGAACTGGTTCAGCACACAGGACGGCTAAAAGCTGTGATCCGACTTACCGTTTAGTGTAGAGTTCAAACACCTCATGGCCTTCATGGCACACTAAACTGCAGGCCAAACACATGCCGGCGGCTTTAACACCGGGCATTCGTGTTGGAATGCATGTTGCGCAGGCAAACACCGCTTGCCGTGCAAGAGCACCCTGTCAAGAAAAATAAGCAACAAAGTGGGGTCAAAATCTATCAGGTTATCTACAAAAATTACTGATCCTGCCCATCCATGGATTTAATAAGAGATCGGGATTTGTGGAGACAGAAAGTAAAGCTCCCACAACTGATTTCTCCAGAAAACTTGCGGAATGTATGTATGTATGTATGTATGTATGTATGTATGTATGTATGCATGCATGCATGTGCATGTGTGTGTGTGTGCGAAGTATCAACTCATGATATCCCCAGAATATAATATATACACGTCTCCATACTAGTACATGTAGAACGTTATCCACGGGTCTACAATTATAGTAGTACAGGCCAGAATGACACAATTAGTGTCACATGCCTCAGTCTAAAGTTAGAATTCAAAACAATTAAAGTCAGTATTTCATTGGGACACAGGTATATACAATGCAGTCACTGTTGCCCAGGTATCTTTTTGTACAATTTGGCACCTGCACCTGCATCTGCTGCACGTGTTGGATTAGACTGCATGAGTGCTGGAAGGTGTCTATTGACTAACTTATAACCCGACTGGGGGTATGTTTGTGGCTGTAAGCTTTACGTTGCTCTGGTCAAGCAATCTCCTGGGGCGCCATGCCATGCTGTGCGCCGCAATGACTCAAACCAACACGAGTGAAACATATTTCTGCATTGCTTTGCATCACTCCAACTCCAGATCAGGAACTGTGTGCATGGCATCATGAGAACGTTGCTGCCAGGGAGTCGTAAAATACCGGTATTTTACGACTCCCTGGTTGCAGCTAAACTCTGATGCGGCAATGCAAGCTGTGTTCTTTTCTGATCCAGAGTGGCTAAACGAGCTGTGCTGCTCCAATTCAGTCGTGAATTTGTGTTCATTGTACTTGAATAAGGCATGTTGTTCCTCGGTGAGAGCGGTTATATGACCATCATGTACCTCAAGGGGCTAGGGGACTTCTCAAAGTTCACGGAGTAGATAGATGCGAGATGCAGCATAGAAAGTGGCAACCAAGCCCAACCGATCCCTTACTTGGTGTTTTATTTATAATTTTTTTAAACCTCATAGCTCAGGGCATGCTCAAGACTCACTCGACCAAGGCTTATGATGGTCCTCGCACCACCATTATTGCTCAGATGTTTTGATTTTTGCCAGATTGTTATGCAAACATCACTTGTGTGCATCTGGATGACATCAAGAGTGCATAAACTAGAGTGTGCAACTGTGCACACCAGGCTTGAAACAGGGCAGCTCGTGCATTACGTCACCCTGCTGAGGTCAGCCAAGCCGCAACTTGCGTACAACTCAAATTTTCATGTTTCAAAGCCCGGAATTACCGGAAATCAGCCAAGTTTGCATGAGTCTGTTTTAGAATTTCGGCGTTTTCGTGTGACTCTGTCCCCCGAGGATTGCGCGACTACGTGGCCGCGCCATTTTTCGCATAATCGAGCAAAAATCGCATTTTCCTACAACTTCCGCGTTGACGCCGCATAATCCTTGATTTTTTCATGCGGATCATGTCCACAGGTAGGTACGTCCGTCCGCGCAATCACTGGAGTGCCGCGTTTTCGGTCAAAGTCCGCGCTCGGAACTGGTGGGTATCGTACATGCACAGTGTACTAGTGTGTAAACAGTAATGTGTACCATGGTGTGCAGAGTGCAAAGTACAGCATGATTGTGTAGACCATGCATGGTAGACAGGTGAACACTGGCAAGTGAAATGGTGCATGCCGCGTTTCGTGGAGCAGCCCGGTAGTCTACATGCGTCTGGTTCACAACTACCTGATTGTGGGATATGCAGAATACTAAGCTAGAACTAAAAAATACAACGTGTAGCACTGCACCGAGCTTGCTCCAGCATGCTTGCGCAGTCACACTCCGCTCCTCTTCGCCGTGAGTGAATCTGCTGCTTGTTCGTCAGTTTAGTTGTGGATTGGTGGTGATAGAAGTGATAGTCGAATCGTACAGACAGTAGTCTTTTGCCATGATCAGAACAATGTTGCCAAAGAGGGACGCCTCGAAGAAAGCTAAGTTTGTAATCGCAAAGGACCGAGCGAAGAATTACTTCGATTACTACGAAGACGGAGGAAAGTTGTTCTGCAAAGTTTGTAATTAGGAGGTCCACTCTGGAGAACCATCTCAAGAGCGACCACCACAAGGCGCAGAAGAGAAAGTTGGAGGACGCTGGTGGAGATGGACCAGCTGCTATACGGCAGAAACCCCTCACCTCCTCTTTCCAGTGAGCGACTTGCGCCACAGAAGAAAAGATCGACGTTTGTAGCGAGTGGGTATCAATGCTAACTGCCGCCAACATCCCACTGTCGAAAACTGACCATCCGAGAGTGAGAGAGTTCCTGGATAAGAGGGTCAAGAACGATGGTGCGATTCCTGGTGGAGATCGGCTGCAAAGGCACTACCTTCCCCTTCTATATCAAGCTGAGCGTGATGCAATGAAGGCAAGCCTGACAGGGAAGGATATAGCCGTTGTGCCTGATGAAACGAGTGAAAACAATGGTCGCTACGTCCCCACCATTCTCTTTTCAACCATGGAGAAGCAAGAGGATGGCAAGGTGGACTTCAGAGTGGCTGATCTTGTCTTCCTGGATAAGACTAACCATGGTACGGTGGCCCAGGCTATTATCCAAACCCTCCAGTTATATGACATCAAGTTCGAGCAGGTAACCGTTTTCAACACAGACAATGCCAGCTATATGAAGAAGGCGTTTCGCGACATCCTGGGGCCATTATTTCCTAATGCTGTCCACATTACCTGCCTGGCTCACGTTATGAACCTGGTAGCCGATGCGTTCAAGACGCCATTTCAGGACGTGAACAACTTTATCAAGAAGTTTAGTCAGATGTTCTACATAGCTGGGGGCAGGAAGCACAGGTTTCTGAAGCACCTTGCAGACCAAACAGGTCGAGCAATGAGCATGGCCCCTAATCCCATAGCTACACGCTGGGGATGCTGGTACGATGCAGTCGAGTACCATGCCAAGCACCTGCAGCACTACCAGGCCTTTCTGACTGAAGAGATGTCGGATCATGCTCCCGCCTCTGTACAGGAACTGCACGGTATTTACAACTTGGAGAGCAAGATCACCGTCATCGAACTACAGCTAGCGTTTATCACAGAACACTGCAAGAAGTTCACTGTGTTGAATGACACCTTCAAGTCCAGAATGCCATGTGCTATGAAAGTATTTGACACACTGGACAGACTAGCACGAGATCTTGAAGGCCACCACTACCTGCTGATCGAGAACGTTCCGAGCCTGGACGATGCTAACCTTGATGAGGACATCAAGCTGGAGCTCGTTGATCGCTTCAGAGAAGCCTATCAGTTGGCTCATGAAAAGCTCAAGAAGTATTTGTGCAAAGACCATCAGCTTCCGCTGATTTTCTGAAGCAGGTCAGGGTGTTTGACCCGTATGCAACTCCCAGACTTGCCAAGGATGTCCGGCAGTACTCTGCTATCCCCGGATTCACGAGCACTCCAGCCACTGAGCTCAACTCCTACTTCGACAAGTACGCCCTTGAGTTCATAGCCTCCCATGAGAAAGACGAGAAAGCCGCTGACGTGTTCTGGAAGTCGTGTGGTGATAGCCTGCCAGCGCTGAAAGCCCTCGCAAATCGCTACCGAGATGTTGTCACGCACTCAGCTGATGCTGAGAGAAGTTTCAGCTAGTACAACCTGTTTTTTTCAGAGCGCCGACGTTCACTGTCCCAGAAGAATATCGTGGCCATTGTGTTCTTGTATTTCAACCAAGGCGTTGAGTACAATGCCTTTGAGTGAACAATGCAGTGATCATAGAGATCTCTCATCTGTGATTTGGTGACAGGCATATTATCATGCATGTTTGTACACCTGTCTTGATATTCACCTTCTAAGTTCTTTTGAAAAGTCCCGCATAATGATGCATTTCCTGCATAATGCTTGCATAATTGACTGTTTAGGCCCCATAATTATGCGAAAATTTGAGAGATTTGCCCGCGCAATTCACGGGGGACAGGTGACTGCGTGCACTGCGTACATCCGCTGGCAAGAAAATTCACCAGGCTATCCGTATAAAGTAAAGTAAAAAAAAAAATCAGGAAATACTCAGTGACCTGCACCACCGTGACTTGTTACGCAACTTTTCACCGTACACATGACTGACCATGCCGTCAGAAATGACGTACTGCACGGATTACACTCCCAAAGGAACCACCCCGAGTTGCACACTCTGGTTTATGTACCCTTGATGACATGTATAGAGCTGCCACAGGCGTGGGTTGCCGTTCTGTCCCCTACGAATCACGATTCCACGGATGCAAAGTTTCCGTGATTTTGTTGCATGAAAACATCGAAAGGCTGAGCTTGCATCACATGGTCGAGGTCTAGCCACTCCCGAGTCCGTACATATGAGTAGCAGGCACCTTACTTGAGGACTGAAGTGCATGGATTTCATGACGTACATATCCTTTTCACTCTCTCAACCATCTTCTTTATGAAAGACGGACAATTTTCTGGTAGGCAAACCGGTAGATTGGCCAATCAACTTGCAAGTTTACCAAAAACTGTCGCAAATGCCCCGCAAATTGTGCCGCGATTTTCTCCGGGGACAGGATGTTTGACTGGACTCGAATATACTGCAATGCTATAACTATAGCTGGCTACAATACTACAGTCTCAGTACCGTGTGTTAAATGAAGCTCAGTCCTTAGTATAGTCAAGAGTACATAACCCCCCCAGAGTGTGCAACTCCCACATACCCTGTTGTCCCGACAGAATTTCAAGTTGACGTCATTATTTATGACGCAATGCTCCTTGCAGCAGTGATTTACAACATGTGTACGGGTGTCAACGCATCACACGTTTTTCTTTGCAATAATTTGTACAGGATTGATCGGCTTCGGTCAACCACAGGTTCCGGATTCGTCTGATAATCCGTGTACAGTGCGCATTGCATCGTCAAAATGACGTCAACTTGAAATTCTGTCGGGACAGCACCCATAGTGGAGTTGCACACTCTGGGGGGTTATGTACTCTTGGTATAGTGTGGTGACCTTTTTTGTTTTGTTCTGCTAGAAGTTAGAGAACCAATACAAGTACAGATCTCCAGCAGTACAGGTCCGGCCCCCTTCGAAAAGTATTACATGTACTATAGTACAATCTACACATTTCTTTCACATCCCTCCAACATGTGATGTGGAATATTGTACAATGTCGAGTCATGTCATGTACATCTGTTTACATTAATTTTTGATTTTCATCTTTACATACCTTTGGGTAGGTGCAGTTTTTGGCATCGCTAGCACCCAAGACAGCCCTAGCTTCCGCCTCTCGAGCAGAATTTTCCAGCAGTACCTCATCTAGGGACACAGTCCTCTCTTCCTGGGGCTGTTCGTCAGCCATTCTCAAGAACAAGTTCTTTCACGATCGTTGCTTTGAAGTTACAGTTAGTCGAAAACGTGCAAGTAAAAATGCAAAATCAAAATGCATATCAAGCATGGCTTTTTACACCTTCCCGCCACGAGCAGCATGCACTGTACCCAAAAAAACAAAACGATGATGTAATCATGTACATGTATACAATCATGATTCTGATTGTGAGTCGAAAAATTTCATTCTGACCCAGCTTTGCAAAATTGGTAACAGCGTGAAGTATCTCAGGATCATTCTTTTCTGTTCAATCCGCCAACTGATAGGAGTGCCATGGTGGTAGTGTCAATGACTATGTCACCCTGACGGTCGTCTTTATCCATCAAATTATAACATTTCAGTCTGAGCACACAGCTAGCTGTAGTGATTCGCTTACGACACCCGTGTAGCAAACTTTGCCAAGCTTTCACCATGTCTGAGCCCATGGATATTCCTGAAGACTCAAAGCAAGATGTTGCAGAAGAAATGCTGGATGACTCTGAGGGTAACATGGCTGCGGATGGCTCTGAAGGGACAGAAAGTGCTCCGAATGTCACAGATAAAATACCTGTGCCAGATCCTCCGAAAGTTGAACTATCTCAGGACGAGGTGAGTTTTATTGTCAACAATGGTTATGTTCAGCGACATTGGCCATAACTAGCGACAATGCTCTACGTCTCTGCTAATTTTCGTTCATTCTTTTTCCCGTAGATGCGTCGACGGCGCCTTGAAACGCTTGCTAACAAATCTGTTGTGCAAGGGACTGCGCCAAAGGTTGTCAAGTTGGACGACAGCGAAGCAAGCTTCAAGTCTGCATCATCGTCTATAGGCTCGTCATCACTGCCAGTATCAAGTGTACAGGCCATTCCCAAGAGGAAAAATGTCGCTGTAGGTTCCTTACTGTGTATGTTGTTTTGTAATGTCATCAATATCACAACCCTTCATTATGACAGTGTATTGTCATGCTTCTCCAGTCACTACCCGTTTCCCCGCCTGTTGCAGTGTTGGCATCCACGGTTTACTCTAGGCTTGGTCATGGTGACCTGGACTAGCCGATGTTGGACAAATAGATCTTAAGTTACCTTGCTGTCCGAGATTCAAACAGATCGTTGGTCTTGGCCGCGCCTCCTACTCCTAGTCGGTTGATAAGGCGTTCGAGCACCCATCAACACGTTCTACCTGGCCCGTCAGCTGGTCAACTGCGTGTACTAAGGCAGATACTGCTGTTTCTGAGGGAGCCTGCAGTACCACAGCAGCTACAACCAACACTGGGTTTCGGCTTCCTGATACGGCGGCAGAGCCATGCTGGCCCCTCATCTTTTCCATGCCCTCTTGAGATGGGTTGCCAAGTCCATGACCTGCCTGGACCGTTTCAGGTGCACTTTCATGCGCTAGGCGTACCGCTCTGAGGCAACTGCCTCCAGAAACTGGTCACAGACTAGGTTTTCCCGAGTCTCCTCAGGCATGGTTTTGTAGTCTTGCCTCGCCAAACTACAGTACTTAGCTCATCTTTCGGCAAACTGAAGTCTTCGTCTGGCTGTCTGCGGCAACCCCAAAATGAGGTTTTGTACAGGTGGGTGCAAATCGCACAGTTAGGGTTCAGGTGCAGGAATGATTGACAAAAATGTTCTTGCTCCATCTCGGAGCCGCATGGTTAGGTTCTGGGCCTGTTGGGCTTCATTCCGGTTGTTCTCATCAGTGCAATGGTTGAACTACTGAATGTACTCCAATCATTCTGTTTTTCGGTGTATGCCTACTCCGGCATGATTTGGATAGGCGCCCGAGCTGGAGCGGAAGCCCCAGCTTGAGCAACCTTTTTCACCTGGATGACCAGCAAAATTCTGTTCCTTACATGGTATAAGCAGTCAAAGACCCGAAGGCCCGCCTGTGTACCATCCAGACTATCTGGAGACCCTATTGTGATTTCATTTGAGTATGTTGACTGGATAGTGTCCAGTATGGATGAACTGTATGTTGGCGTATGCCATGACTTCTGTCACATGTCATAGAAGAATGGGTTCAGTGTGAGTAATCTTTTTCATTGTAATGCATGTACACCAGGTAGTCGTAGCATCTTTGGGAGATGATGTGAGACCATAGCATCCGATTTGTGTAATTTCTTGATTATAACCGGTGGGTGGTTGGATTCGGAGTGGATGTATAGTGGTGTGTGTATCCAGGCTTTCTGTGTGGCTTGCGGTATGCCGGGGTGACATGGATTGTGTCCATGATGTAGGACTTAGCACCAACCAGCTGACTTGGTTCAATTTCTCCCTACAATGATCGTTCATGATCACAACCTCTGTTCACGCTACATCATGTAGACAGATGACGATGTAGTATAGTCCCAGGTGTCGCCTGAAGCTGGAGTGCAGCTTACCCAGGTAGTGTGACAGGTTTACTGTGATATACTACTGTTAGCACTTGGCAGTGTGTCAAAGCCAACTTGACACAATCTCACATCTCCAGTGCCCGCTACCTTCCTCTGCATGCTTTCTCCCTAGTTCATCGTGTGTATTCCCCAGTGAGTTTCATATGTCATATATAGTTGTCTGATGATTGTAAGAGCTCAGAGTCACAACTTATTTCTTGGTTCACTGTCTTCTGATGTTTTCTGATGATCGCTCAGTGTGTGAAACTCAGAGTGAAAAACACTTTTTTTCCGTCCTCTTATTGTTTGAACTAGCTCTGCCTCTCGGTACTGAGCACTTTTTTGGCCAGCCTGGAACCTCTCTGTTTTATTTCTTGGTTCACCGTTGCTCTGCGACTACTGTGTCACTGCTCCATCCCTGATGGCAAGCACTCTCTCTCTCTCTCTCTCTCTCTCTCTCTCTCTCTCTCTCTCTCTCTCTCTCTCTCTCTCTCTCTCTCTCTCTCTCTCTCTCTCTCTCTCTCTCTCTCTCTCTCTCTCTCTCTCTCTTCACCACTGTAGACATGAATCTTGCGTTGTATATCTATATCTTGAATAGTATATCATCATGTTCTGTCTTGCTGCTCTTGCTCTTGATTTCAGGCATCTCCAACCCAATCCTCGCCTTCATTCCGTTCACAGCAGGAAACTACAGTCCAACTGTTGTCACGGCTATTCAGAGTTGATGTTGGTGTAAGTAACACTGCGCTCGCTGTGATAATAGAGAGGTTCTGCGAAACGAACGTTTGCAACAACTTATGCATACTTTGGAACTTTGTGCGGACAGTCGCGATTTTGAATGCAAATGTAGTTTCACGACTCTGTTTTACACGCTTGCTTGTGGGAGTGGTGATCGCTCTGTGCCATACTTTCATGAATGTGTTCAGAACATTATTTTCTTGAGGTATTTCCATAATTTTCACTGCTGATGGCGCGCCTATTTCCGAGAACTTTCGTCTAGAACCTTTCTCCTGATTCAATGTACTTTCAAGTTTCTGCCTGTACTCTGTGTCTTTTAATCTATGGAGTGTAGTGGCGCATCCTGTTTAGTACTCTTGCATCCACGGCATCAGAACAGCACTTAGAATTGTTTTGGTATCATAATACATGGACACACACGCACATGCCTGCACAGCTGCACAATATTCATGTGGCCATTTGTTCCACTGTATGTCATTGAAGGTCATTGTGAACAAATCACCTTCATATGTTGCTGCTGCTGCTGTTGATGCTGCTGCTGCTACTGCTGTCATCGTCGTCGTCGCCGTCGTCATTGTTGTTGGTATACTTCTGTGTTGTACAGGTTGCATCACCTTCAGTCACACCGGATGAAGCAGTGGTCCAGCTACCACGTGTAGCATCCTTGCTGGAGGAGAGCTCCATGTTCAGCAGTAAGTGTCTATCAGAAGTACAGTGTGTGTATGTGTTGTGTTTGGGGCTGCATCTGTGCGTGTAGCACATCGATGCCTAATGGAGCACAGAAGTGAGAGCATCGGCCAAGTTATTTTTGGTTTGTGCCCACCCTGGCGAAAAAGGAGAAAGGAAACATGATACAATGCATTGGTGTTAGGCCTGAGCTCAGAAAATAGGGAAGCTTTGCCTTGGTACCGTTTGTTGCAACAGAACCCAGTGCTGGAAATGGAATAATATGCTACGTATTCCTTTAGCAGTCGTCTCGGAGAACGAAGTTCGATATGGCTATACCGAAGACACATTAGGCATTTTGCTAACACGCTACCATAATGATTTCATATATTGAAGTAGAACTCTGAATCTGACTCTGTTATTTTTGCAGGTAATACCGTATTTTAAAGCAACATGATAGTGTGTTGCATTGTCTTGTCATCTTTATTGCACTTATAAATTATTTCGATTTCTGGTAATACCAGGGAGTGGTAAGATGCGGTATTTTACTACTCCCTGGTAATACTGATACATGTCAATAGTAAAACCCAGCTATTATGAATTTATTGTAAGGCTGTGAGGAATTGATGACAATTGCTGTGTTGCCTTCAATGTGTGCTATGCCTTGCGTAGATTCAAACGACATGCTCTCTATGGTATTATCTGAGCGACTCAGTCTTGTTCCAGGGACATCCAATGCTCTGTCCCCCAGAGATGTGGTTACTGGCGTGAAAAAGCCGAGTCAACCAGTCTCCCAGGTAATACTCGCGCGTTTGTCACTTTTCACCTTGCCATTCCTGCACTTCAAACTTCGATTCCATGACGAACGTTAGGGTGGACATCTGGCTCAGCCATGCCTTGATATTATTGTGCTCCATTCGGTGTATGTCTGTTTCCTTCAGGGTCAAGGAGCTGTAAGCCAATCACCACCCAAAAAGTTCGTCGTCTTAGGATCATCTCTACCATCACAATCAAACCTCTCTTCGTCATTACCATCGTATTCGCAAGGCAGCGTGTTGACGCATAGTCCACGTGGTGCAGGTTGTGGTGGCCGGGCTGAGCGACTAGGGTACCTCATTGACAGTTATGAAGCCATTAACTTAGAGTTCAAGGCAAAGGTACATGTGATGTATGTTTGACATGTGATGTATGTTTGACATATTTGACATGTGTGTGTGTGTGGGTGTGTGTGTGTGTGTGTGTGTGTGTGTGTGTGTGTATGTGTGTGTATGTGTGTGTGTGTGTGTGTGTGTGTGTGTGTGTGTGTATGTGTGTGTGTGTGTGTGTGTGTGTGTGTGTGTGTGTGTATGTGTGTGTATATGTGTGTGTGTGTGCGTGTGTGTGTGTGTGTACATGTACCTGTGTGAACGTGTGTGTTTGTGTTTGTGCGTGTGCACGTATGGGTATGTGTGGACTTGCGGAAACGGCCATGGGTATAATGAACTTCTTGCTGTCGTGTACCTTGGCTGGTCGTTAGCTGAGCCGTTGTAAGGTGATTATATGTGTATTGGTATGCAACTCTACACGGTTTTAAAGTAATGACAGCATAGCTCTTTTTTTCCCCCTCGTGCTACATTGTTATGTTGTCTAGGCATCCACTGGGCCAGTTCGAAGTACATTGGAAGACTGGAGGTCTATTGTAGTGCGGTACTCTGTGCTGGTATTACGTGGCCATCTGGATGATGACAGTACTCACGTGTAAGTTTGCACCGATTGCACTAAGTACTAGTTGCGCCTTTGAGCTTCCTTCTTGGAGTGCACATTGTTTGTAGAACCAATATTGCATCGCGGTTGGTATTGATAGACTACGCACTCGTCTGTGGCGTGTGTATTTTCTTACACCATTCGACTCGGCGCCCTAAACCCTACGGACCCTAACTTTCGGCGCCCTAAACCCTACGGACCCTAACTTTTAAATATTTCACCGCACTGCTAGTATCCCGTTAATCTTCTGTGTGTGGGTGTGTGTGTGCGCGCGTGTGTGAAACGGGATTGTGAACATGTGTGTTGCAGGAACGGTTTGATGGATTCTGTTCTTGTGCCTCATCTTCTGGAGCGGTATGGCGAGACGGGCCTTCCTGGCGGCTTTCTCATAGATCTGATGATGCAGGCGTCCACTTCTCAGGAGTGCTTCAAGGATGTAAGATAGTGTTTAATTGGGTTACACTGCTTGTCCTTTTTTTTCACGCCACCGCAATGTGTGCTTATCTTTGACACAGGATTTCGTGTGTTGATTTCTCCTACCATCACTTTCTCACCACTAGCGGTGGTATGATGGGTGTACACTTGAGAGGCATCGTAGAGATGGCGAGAGTACTCTCACCCGATGCCGTAGCGTATTCTGAGTCTATTTCTGAATAGGTTCTCCAGGTGTATGTGGATGTCTTTGCTTGAATATCTCTATTTGCTGATGGTGGTGTTGCTGCTTTGATACTGCTGTTGTGGTGATGTACAGATCTTCACTCCTGTACTCTGGGGCCTGGCAAGGCAAATTCTTTTTCAAATGGATGACATCAAGGTGGCGGTGGCTGTAAGTACTCTTTTCAGGGTCTTCTTTCAAGTTCTTCCCTCACCCCCAATATATATTTTGGTGTTTTGTGTGTATCCCTAACGGATACACAGAAATGTGCCTCTGTATTTGCAAGTTTGCGGCTGATGCTGCTGCTGCTGCTAACCCTGCCACTGTGGATGCTACTCGTGATGCTGCTGTGAATGTTGTTTCTGTTACTGTTGTCAGGTTCTGGCTGATCTTGTTGAAGCACGAATTCCTGCTACGGGACCAAAACTCTTCTGCTCATTGGTACGTGTTCTCTCAACTCTCTCAACTGTCATGGTCTGTTTCACGTACTATTTTACCTACTTCCCAGCGACATGCAGTGTGAAAGTTAGCGTACTACTAGTATATGCCATTTGACTAGGCTTGCATGTACAAGGCTGCCGTACATTCAGGCACAGTTGTGTGGGTGGGTGCGTGCCTGCCTACCCGCGTGTGTACCGTTTACGCCAACAAGTGTAGGGTGTGCATAGGTAACATTCGTTACTGTTATATCACCATTTCAATGAATTCAAGTGTACCACAAAGCCTTTTTTTAATTGGCTCATGGCAACAAAGTCTGCACCTATTTTGGGATGGACACAGCGAGCTTATAAAAACAGAGAACTTTGACGTTAGCCGATACAAGTGATCGTAATACACAATCTTCTGATACCTATTTGTTTCCACCATCTTCGGTTTTTGTGTTGAGGTCTGCACATTCAGAGGTGGGTCTGTTTTTTATTTATTTTTGGCCATCATCACTGTTGTGTTTCGTTGTTTCTTCTCTTTAGTTTGGTGCTATCATGGGCCATGCTGAGCAGCCTGCGCATGCTGTGGAGCTCTTCACCACGCTACTACTTGGTCCATTCCTACGCTACTCTACATTTGGCCGAGACAATGTAAGTAACAACACTTCGTTGCAGCCATTGAGCTACTGTAAAAGCCCGTATTGAGGCCCTGGGCAGAAACGTTAGTCAAGGTCCAGAACATGGACACTAATGTGGGCCCGGGCGTTATTTCGGATAAAACAAACCGCGCTGCGTACAAGGCTAGAGCAGTGCACTGTACACTATACTACAGTATTGTCCATGCACATTGAGTTGTGCATGCACTGCACTGCACTTCACTTCACCCATGGGCGTTCACACGGCGGTGGGCTAGAAAATGAGACAAGAGTGGTGACTTCTCCCGCACCTACTATGTACTACGCTCTGTCTCTGACATTGAGCACTCTCTGCAGCTCGGGGATCAACGCATTTGTCAATGTATGTAGTATGTTACTATGTACTTCGAAGTAGTATACCGTATGCCTTGTCAATGTTTTCTGCAAGTGAAGCCTGTTTCCTGCTCATTTTTCTTGTGCAGCTGCAATTGCGAGGGCGTATCCTGGCCGCATCGTCATCTGTAACTTCATGCATAGCGGTGGAGCGAGTTGAGCTGTTGACTGTTCAGGTGAGGATTAGGTTCACCCATTTTCTTATCGGATGGAGAGCCAAGGATTTATAATAAAGAAAAGGACCAAGGAACTGCGTCGGTCAATGTCGCATGACCTGATTGTCAAGTAACGGGTGGTGTTAGTGGACACTTTAGCGAAACTTGTAGTTCCTTGGTCCTTTTCTTTACTATACATTTTCTTATCACTCGTGTTTTCTGTGGAATTTCTTAGCTTTGGGCCTGTATTTGTTTTCTGTGGATTGTTTTGTATGGAAAGAGGACACTGGGCATGGCTTGCGGAATTGTTCAAAATAACCCACTGTGTACAGTACTGTGAAGCCACTGTCAGAATGGGCTTGTCCATACACCTCTTCTTGCTTATGTTTGCATGTGTAAATGCTGCAGGATAACTGTCACCGTGTTGTCAAGGCATTGCTGTTGCAGAGTGACTGTAGGTCAGCTGTCATGAAGTTCTTCCACTATCTGGTCGACTGCTTCAGCTCGAAAGAGCGGATGTTCAAGAATGTGAGTTCTTTTGGGTAGTGTTCATTTCCAAATAATTCCTTTTTCTGACCTTGCTACCATGGCTGTCCGTTTCACTGTCTCATGTATCCATCATACATCATCACTGCAGTACCACTAGATGAGTAAATTGCATGTTTGTTTTTGTGATAAGCACAGTTGCCAGTATCTGGCGCATCATTTGCCGGAGTATAATGCGCACCTGAGCATACTGCTGTATAATGCGCACCCTTTTTTTTTTATCAATGTTTGGCCATTCAAGGTATATCCAGAGTATAATGTGTGGCTTGGATTTGAGAAAATTATGGATTATAAAGACAGTGTCATAGTGCGACCATTGACAAAATTATCATACAATTATTTTAACGGATGCTGTGATTCATGTGATTCATGTGATTTCTTCTGTCTATTTTAATTACAATTATGTTAAAGGGGAAGTTAAGGCAAAAATTAAAATTTCACCAGTTGTAGTCTTCGGGGTGCTGAGTCGAATGGTCTTGGTCCGAGGAAGCTGAGACGCTCCCTTCCTACTTGAATCCCAATCGAACTCGCGCACTTCCACCGAAACTGGGTGACTGCGCCCTACGAGATGGGGATTTGTATGCAAAATGTCACTAAAAGCGCCATTTCGTTCTTATAAAAGCACGGATGACCGCGATTGGCCCATATGTTGTAGTCTTTTGGACGCTGGGTCGACTGGTTTTGGTCCGAAAAGGCTGCGATGCAGCGTTCCTCCTTTATTCCCAATCGAACGTGGCTGAACAAGCGGTCACGTGCTCCTGGGTGCCCAAATCACCTGGTCACCACGCCAGCAGGCGACAAATTTCACACCAAGGTTCAACTCGAGTGACAGGAGTGCATCCAAAAAAGGTCAAACAGGCTAGTAAGTTGTACCCTGCAGGCACGGTGACCAGGTGACTGGTGTACGCAGGAGCACGTGACCGCTTGTTCAACCATGTTCGATTGGGAATAAAGGAGGAACGCTACATCGCAGCCTTTTCGGACCAAAACCAGTCGACTCAGCGTCCAAAAGACTACAACAATGGGCCAATCGCGGTCATCCGTGCTTTTATAAGAACGAAATGGCGCTTTTAGTGACATTTTGCATACAAATCCCCATCTCGTAGGGCGCAGTCACCCAGTTTCGGTGGAAGTGCGCGAGTTCGATTGGGATTCAAGTAGGAAGGGAGCGTCTCAGCTTCCTCGGACCAAGACCATTCGACTCAGCACCCCGAAGACTACAACTGGTGAAATTTTAATTTTTGCCTTAACTTCCCCTTTAAATGTGTACATCTGTATAATGCACGTGCTACCTATGGACTCGTACCAATCTTGCATTTTGCAGAAGCTGGCAGAAGACACCACAAATGCATGGTTATGGCTTGTGCAGGGTCAGAGACTCAGAGGTGACAAACTTTGCAACAGTTTGATACATTGCACTACTTTTTGAAGTGCATGCATTCTTTCATTCGGAGTATAGTGCGCACTTGCGATTTGGGGCCTGAAATAGCGCATCTAGAATGTACCCTATACTCTGGCAAATACGGTGCTTGCGCTCTGACGTGGTGTGGAAATATGTTGGGACATCGTATTCTTGTCGAAGACGCACTACTTGCTTCACTTCTGGTATCACGGTAGATCTGTTTGGCCTTTCTTGTGTGGGTGCGTGCGTGTGCGTTGCGTGTGTGTGCGTTGCGTGTGTGCGCATGTGTGTGTGTGTGTGTGTGCCGTGTGGGTGTCTGTCATGTATGTCTTTCTGTCTGTCTGTTTGTTTGTGTTGCGTCTGTGTGTTATGTGTTATGTATCTGACAGCGCGCTCTCACCACGATCAAGGTCGCGGCTCCTCTGGATGAAGAGCACGGCGCCCTAGTCAACGCCCTCTATGTAATGCAGGAGATGTCACGCAAGATAAAGCTGGACAAGGTAGGGATAAACTAGGCCTAGGATGAACTGCAGGTGCACCAAGCCTACATGCCTGCTTTAAATGCTATTATTCTAACGAGCCGCAAATATAGCGATTTCCTTCAAAATTGACCAGTTTACGTGTACCAAAGGTAACGATTCTCACTCTTTCTCAGCGCTCACTACAGTCCATTTCAAAACTATAGACGCGTACCTAGGCAAAACCGTTATGCCAGCATCTATACCACATAACATCTGTGATCACTTTGTGCATAATTTTTTCCAAATTGGGCGTCTGTTATCCAATCGTTTAGAAACTATATGAGAGTAATTGTGGAGCGGTCCTGAGCAATATTCCAAAAACTATTCTCAAAAAGTTCCAGCCAAATTTGAAATATTTCAAAAACCCTACGCGTCTATAGTTTTGAAATGGACTGTAGCAACAGCATATAAGTATCGATTTCGGTATAACATTTTCTATTTTAACGACAGATTTCTCCTCGTTAACTCGTTCGATTTAGCACTTCGTTATATATAGGGCTTTACAGTAGCGCTATTCATGTTTTTTTGGGAAATCTTATGTGGAAGGTTTGCCATCATGCTCCTTTTTGCGTTTTATGTTTCGGTGATGCTGGTGTAGGTTGATGGCACCTATCTATACAACCGTCGTCATGTGCTGGTAGCAGACAAAGCTCGCACCAAGATGGACAGTGAACAAGCACGTGCTTACGTATCCAGTCTTCCAGCAGGAAGTGACAGTAAGGTCTACCATTGCTGCTATAGATGTCTGGATGTTCGTCTTGGACTCCGTGCTCTGTGTTTTTCTTTATTTCTAGCATTTGTTTTCATTTGCTACGATAGAGATTACCATGGGACCATGGCCCGGTGGGTGTTAAGCGACCACCCCGCGGTGCAAGCAAAAGCAGTTGTTTAAGCCAGGTAGTCTTTAGAACCAGGTCCCATACGTTTGTGGAATATCAGATCTTGCAATTATGCTTCCATGTGCTCATATTGACAAGTGTGGAGTATAGAACACTTTCGTGCAGGCAAAGCACCCATGAGTTTCACGCCTCACTCAAGTGCATGCAGCGCGCCCTACCTCTGTACTGTCACTTGTCACTTCTGTTGATTGTATGCCCAGCTTCTGAGCCCACTTCAACCCTGTTATAGTCAATCCTGCCAGCCAGGATAGCACTTTTGGCTAGTTTTGGTCGCTGTATGCAGGTCAGATATGATACTTGATACACTAAAAGTCGGTCGCTGGTCACCCAAGGCAGGTGTTCACTGTATCCGGTGCAGTTCCTGTGTAAAACTGTCCGTGCATGAAATTAAAAACAGTCGTTAAAGGGGAAGTTAAGCCTAAAATCAAATGTTCACCAGTTGTAGTCTTCGGGGTGCCGAGTCGAATGGCCTTGGTCCGAGGAAGCTGAGACGCTCCCTTCCTACTTTAATCCCAATCGAACTCGCGCACTTCCACCGAAACTGGGTGACTGCGCCCTACTAGATGGGGATTTGTATGCAAAATGTCACTAAAAGCGCCATTTTGTTCTTATAAAAGCACGGATGACCGCGATTGGCCCATATGTTGTAGTCTTTTGGACGCTGAGTCGACTGGTTTTGGTCCGAGAAAGCGGCGATGCAGCGTTCCTCCTTTATTCCCAATCGAACATGGTTGAACAAGCGGTCAAGTGCTCCTGCGTACACCAGTCACCTGGTCACCGTGCCTGCAGGGTACAACTTACAGCCTGTTTGACCTTTTTTGGGTGCAGCCCTGTCACTCGAGTTGAACCTTGGTGTGAACGTTGTCGCCTGCTGGCGCGGTGACCAGGTGACTTGGGCACGCAGGAGCACGTGTACGCTTGTTCAACCATGTTTGATTGGGAATAAAGGAGGAACGCTGCATCGCAGCTTTCTCGGACCAAAACCAGTCGACTCAGCGTCCAAAAGACTACAACATATGGGCCAATCGCGGTCATTCGGGCTTTTATAAGAACGAAATGGCACTTTAATGACATTTTGCATACAAATCCCCATCTAACGTAGGGCGCAGTCACCCAGTTTCGGTGGAAGTGCGCGAGTTCGATTGGGATTCAAGTAGGAAGAGAGCGTCTCAGCTTCCTCGGACCACGACCATTCGACTCAGCACCCCGAAGACTACAACTGGTGAAAATTTGATTTTAGGCTTAACTTCCCCTTTAATAGTAGTGTTAGTGCTTCTCCCTGCTGCCAAGCCTACTCATCTGTTGTTTATTTAGAGAGGCCAGTGCATATCTCATCCCTGTGGTACTGCCGAAAGGGAATGAGAACTGAAGAAAACAAAAAAGGAAGTGGACATGTAGCAGTTTTTTGTGATGAGTGTTTAACTGCTTCTGTGTCCGAACATAGTCCTTACCTGAACCCATGGAGACAGGTCTGCAGCAGAGGGTGTGGATAATTGACACTCTACTGTATCTGGCTTTTGGCTCTGCGTTGGGCTGTCTCTTGAGTACTTTTGACTGATACATCATCTTATGTTCTTGCATTGTGTAGATCCACCAAGCTTCAACACGGAGTGTTTCTTTGTAACAGCATTCCTTCAGCACCTCACTGTTCCCGCAGTACAGCACGAACTTGAATCCCTTAATCGACAGGAGCGCTATCTCGAACACCTGATCCGGCGAGCACAACATGACAGTAATCAACGGGAGCATGATGAATTCAGCTCAATCTTGACGGTGAGCTATAAACACTGTTGCTGCTGCTGCTCTTGCTGACTTGATATGCAAAGGGTGTTCGATCTTCATCCTGTGTGCCTTCATTGGGACATTCTCTCTCTCACTCACTCTCTCTCTCTCTCTCTCTCTCTCTCTCTCTCTCTCTCTCTCTCTCTCTCTCTCTCTCTCTCTCTCTCTCTCTCTCTCTCTGGGCTTGGATGTCTCTGCTATGTCTCCTTTCTGTCCTTCAGGTGACGAAAAGTGAACAATCCTCCGTCAGCATCGTACATGACGATCCCAAATTTGTCTCAAACAATTTTGAGTTCTATTCCTTGTTGGCTGAATGGATTGTCAGTCTAGTTTCGAAACAGTAAGGAACCACTCGATTGATGCTTCATATTGTTCGTAATACTCAGCCCCCCCCCCCCCTCTCTCTCTCTCTCTCTCTACCTGATTGGTCATCAGTATTCGACATTTCTTGTATTTGGTCTAATCAGGGGGAGTTTATCATTTTTCAGTGTACATCATGTAATGATTTCCCCAGCAAGATCACCAAACTGCCGACGTACATGTATTATAGTGATGTGATGAACACCCGATGATCGTCCAGTGCATGGAACTCAAGAGTTGTGACAGTCATTGTCCACCATTGTGCTGACTCATGTCATGTAATACCAGTGGCTAGGTACAAGTGTTTTGTCGCTCCACTCCCAATATGATAGGGGAGTTCTTCATCCTGTACCACATGATATTGTGTCATGTAGTGTAACAAGGTTGTTGTTCTTGTTGCTGTTGTTGTTGCTCTGGCAGGTGTACATTGCCACTCAGTTCTGAAGTACCACCTGTGTTTGCAGCTCTTCCTGATTACTTTGTTCAGGACATTCTTGATTTCCTCACGTGTCTACTAAGCCGGTATGCTGTTGCTTCATGCTTGCATGTACATGTACACTGTACTGCTGTGTTTGCTGCAGTGCATGCATTCTTCCATGAATCATGCTTTGTTCTGCTATCATGACATGTCCGTCCAGCATACATTCACTCACTGTGCTCATGCACCCAGTGCACCCGGGCGCTTATGAACGTGTATGCGCATCTACGCCAATGAGTCTCCGCACAGCATTTCCACCTTGTTAGGTCTCATGAGCGGAGGTCAGAGTGGCTGGCTGAACCGGTCGCAATGCCGTCTAGTAAACAACAAAACGTTTTTAAATTTTGGCTCGAAGCATCAAAGTCAGTGTGCTCTAACTTTGAGAAACATAGTGAGCTTTGAGGCAGTTTGCACAAGGGCATGTGACACTAACCAGAAATAGTGCTCATCCAAGCGGAGGTAAGGGAGCGTAATACTCAATCTCAAGACGGCTAGCTGTTTTGACCAAATAAGGCCTCGCAAGTGTAACTATCACACACACAGTAACATGCGCATACACATGGCCACACTCATTTTAATACCAGACGGGACTGTTGTACAGTAATGCAAACGTCGCCTATGGACATATGCTACACGTGTACTATGTGCACTATGCAGCATCTCACGGACATGTCTGTACTTTGGAGCTATTAATAGAGAGGTTCCGCACTACGTAAAGTTGAGCAACTTTACGTTGTGGGCGGGAAAACCCGTGAATTCGCGAGTTTGCACTCCACTTACGGAAAGTTGTCTACGGAGAGTACGTAGATAGGGCTCTGATAACGTAGCTGGTCCGTAAGTGGATTGGGGTACAAATTTATGACTCTCTCCCCAGGTCGATCTGGTCGTACACTGCCGCATTCGGAGTTGCCAAGGGCAGCTACGTGATTTGAAAACTCCGTATGGCGGAACCCAGATGCGCATGCAGTTTACGTAAGACTTTCCGTAGATCGAGTACGTTGTTTACTAACGTAATTACGTTATGCGGAACCTCTCTAATGTGCTGCAGTTGCCGTTCTTGTTTTCTTCTGATAGGCATCCAAGTGAAAGACAGCAGCTCAGCTTTCCCAAGGAACAGTGGGACAAGCTTGTTGCGTTCTTGCTCATCTTCTGCTGCTCTCCTGCGTACTTTTCCAACCCGAACATCATGGAGCGCTTCTTCCAGGTACTGACGGTGTTTACACTTTACGTAGATGCTACTAAGATGTAATTACTGTATTGTTCCAACAAGAGCATCATAGCCTAAGAGCTGTGGCATCATAGCCTAAGAGCTGTGGCATTATTCATAATCCACAGCAAGAAGGTAGCAATGCCTGTGTCTATGGTGAAGTAAAAATAAGGATAACAAGAGAGCTTGCACTTTGAGCCGCCGCTATGCTCGCTAACTCGTGAACATGTGCGAACATTGCCGGCCTGCACAAACACACGCACGCACGCACACACACACACACACACACACACACACATTGATGTTGACCTTGAGACACGTTTCCTTCATGGGTTACACGATCCCCGTCAGGGGAGAGAGGTAGAAGAGGTTCTTTAATTAAGGAGCAGCACTTTTGATGGCGAACTAGATGCTGATGCAGTCAAAACTTCCTGCGGCATTGGCACTTGAATGGGAACTTGGCCTTTCCTGACTCCATCTTTCGCTGAGTGTGTCTTGTCAACCTGCCGCTGGACTTGAAACTAGGGGTGAAGCGAATGCCTAAACCAAGAACTCTAGTACTCTTCGGGGGGGGGGGGGGGGGGGGGGGACGAGCGAGTATTCGAGCGAGCTTGAGTATTTTACTCAGAACATAAAACAATACTAGTACACTGCACACACTCACGCAACACCGAACGTAGTACACCTGGGCCGATGCACATGTAGTCTTGCCTGCAGCCTAGTACAGGAAATGGTCCGAAATACTGTCTTTTGTTGGTAGGTAGGGACAAGCAATAATACTGAGAGCTTGTTCTTCAACGACAACACTAACTCCTGGAAGCACTTCTCACAACAATCAAAAAGCATTGGACTTTCACAAGTTTCAATTCCGGAGGTTCTAGGCCGCTAAGTACCCTTGCCTGGGTTGTACAGTACCTGTACCGGTCAGAGTAACGGAAGCACTTGATGTACATGCGTACAGTAGTGCATAGCATGCTTCTGTCTTCGCAGTTTCAAGTAGAGGTGAAACGAGTAAAATTGCGTGTGTGCGTGCGTGCGTACGTGTGTATTCATGTGCATCTGTGTGATTGTGCTTTTTCTGTGTGTTCTTATATTTATCTTTTGTAGATCGTTTATATTGCATTTACTGGCCATAGGCATGTGAACACGTTGCAGGACAACTTGGCCCTGCATCCACTGTCTGCTCCCAACCTCGTTCCCAGTGTTGTTCGCTTCTACAACGATGTTGGTAAGTGTTGTGTGCTTGGATGAAGCCTGGGCTTCTCTGCGCCCACCTAGTCAACGTATCATTTGCCACGATGTCGATCCAAAGGTTTTTACGGTCTTCGTGCGCGGCCCACGACGCTCTCATACTCTTCGAGTATTGCTCTTGGCGCTCGCTCTGCAGCTCAGACCACGTTTTTAAGCTAGTTGTCACGGAGACCAACAGGATGTACACATGCTGGGAAGTAACACGGGACCGCGTCACGCCGTGGCATTGCATTGCCTGCAGGCGCTCAGTTGACTGCCAGGTCTTTGTCTCCAACTGGAGTTTAGGTTCATCTCTTCAGCCAGCGAACAGTCCAGTGCTACTGTTACTGTACTGTAGCGTGTCCGTTACCCGACACCCTCGGGAACGAGCTACTGTTGGTAAAGTGAGCTTTACGGATAACTTAAACCTAAAAGTATCGCTGTCTATCGACACATCAACAAGATTATTGCAGCTTCTGGCGTGATAATCATGTTCAGAATCTGATTTCACTTTGTTGTGTGCAAAAGCACCCTGTGTGCATGCTGCCAGTGATAGTGAGATCTGACCTGTATCAAGAAGTGCAGATCTAGCATTTTGGTGAGATGGATTGGCTTGGAGGTTGAGCAAGTGTGTTCCTGAGCAACACTCTGAGCCTATCAGAGTATGCAACTCTGCGCATAGGGCCACCAACGGTGAAATCTCACCTCATGTGTTGCTCGAATGCAGTACGCATGCTGCAATCTGCATACGACTTGTGTCAGCTGAAGGGCAGTCTTGATGTGCTACATATTTGGCTGATCTTCCCAGCTCGTTGGCATGGTGTCCTTCCTGAAAATGAGCCACCTTTTGTAATAAGCTTGTGCCTCGAAATGCGTAGGGATATAAGCCACATGGAGTTTATTCCAAGAGATGAGAGGTAGCAGTGTGTACCATTGGTTTTGCCGTCCAGGAGTAGTTTTACTCCCATGGACGATTTCTATGCTGTGGGTGCAATTGGTGTGTGCTGTGGTCTCTGCTCTGCTCTCTGCTCTGCTGTGGGTTGTAGGTCTGCTGGATGATCCTGGAACACAGTTTACCTCCAGATTCCGCATGTCACTGGTCCTGGTCAAGCTGGAATCCTATCCTCAACATATGGAGGCGATGCGTGACTTGGCTAAGTAGGTCTGCTGCAGTGTGCATCAATCACTACTGTCTAATTTTCAACTCAAGCCAATCTCCTTATTGACTTTTCTGAGAAGTGCCAGATACTCGTAGTCACACCCACATAGCTATGTGAGAGTGTATCATGTGCACTGAAACAAAACACTCATGAGTTTTCACACCTCACTCGAGTGCATGCAGGGCACACTGTACTGTCACATGTCACTTCCCTTGACTACATGCACTCGCTTCTAAGCACACTTCAACCCTGTTGCAGTCAAGCCTGCCAGCCAGGACAACACTTGTGGTCGCTGTATGCAGGTCAGATATGGCACTGGGTACTAGTACACTATGCAGAACTGTTGGTACATGTACATGGAAAAAAGGCCGTTACTGTACTTATGTCAGAGTATGTCATTTTGTGCTGCACCATTGACTCTTCTACCTTGCAATGAGCTCAAGGCAAGTGAGTTGAAACCCCTTAGGTTGGTTGGTTATGTGGACGCGTAGATGCTGTGTGGATGCCATGTGTTCTCACTGGTGTTCTCACTGTAATTTGTCATGCCTTTCATGCGTAGGCAAACTAGTATTGACTCGCCATTTGTGCGCTTCATGAACGCCATGATCAATGACACAACACACGTTCTTGATGAATCACTGACACTGCTTCAATCTATTCATGAAATCGAAGTGGAGAAAGCCAATGCTGTCACATGGACGAAGCTCGGACAGGTAAGTCGCTCTCGTTTGGGAAAATCACTTTTCTTAGTTGTAAAAATATGACTTTTTGCTTGGTTTTTGGCTCTCCTTTCCCTACGTCTACAGTGACTCAGTACATGTTTGACCAAGGTTTCTTACAAATGCGTTGAACACTGCCAGAGTGTATTGTCCAACTTTTGGTGCATATGATTTTCAAGTACTAGTAGCTTGTACTTTTCAGCCACATATTGGTTTGGACTCCTGGTTGGCAGCAGGCAATGTGACATATCCCATGGCCAGCGTATTCATATCTCCTTAACTCTTCAAACTGAATGGGCAAAACAACAAGAAGTCACACCTAACACGCTATCTCCCTCTTGATTACAGCCTTCAAGTGTGAAAAAGATGGCACCCCTGAATCCGAACCAGTGGAGTGCAATTTTAAAGCACTTCAGTATTTGAAATTTGCAGCACCGGCGAATCTCCTCTTTTTTTTGCCCATTGTCGTGTGTACTGAGTCTCTGATGATGCTTTTCTTTCCCTGTTTCCTGTTACTGTGCTTTTTTTCCTTCTGTTGCTTTTGTGTCCGCAGGATGGTCAGCGTCGAAAATTGCAGAAGCTATCTCAGTATGAAGAGCGATGTCGTCTTTTCTTTAACCTCACTAAGGGAACACTAGATCTTCTCCACTACCTCAGCAGAATTGTTCCATCGGCATTCATGAGAGCTGTAAGATCTGTTATCAAGACTTTTAAACGCCTCAGGATCAAAACTTTCAAAGGGATGCTAACATTGGAGTCTTGGATATTTAAAAAAAAATGGTGCCTATCATTTTTTCTTCCGACTGTTCCCGTTTGCAACTCCCTCAAACTTTAAATATGAATAATAAAAAAAGGAGGGGAAGAGAAACCATCTCTAGTTGGCTGTTTGAGCTATTGCTGGTGAAGTTGTACGCACCTTTGACTTTGGTCTTTGTTTTCCGGAACCTATCAACTGGACCTGGCCACTCTCTTCCCTGTAGTTGTAATAATGTGACTGTGGATCTAGATCAGTAGATGTTAAAATGTGCGTGTGTGTGCTGCCCGTGCCCGTACAGTGTAGGCGGCTTGACTGATGTTCTGTTTCTCACCTGCCCTGCTATACTGTTAGGAGCTGACTGCACCACTTGCTTCAATGATGAACTTCACGCTTCAGCAGCTGTGTGGATCGAACAGTGGGAAACTATCAGTAAGAATGCTAGCCATGCATGTTTTATCTCATTATGCTCCAATGTGTATTGTGTATTGTGTGTGTATGATGTTGACTTGGCACACTGGCACACTGGCTTCCGATTCTGTTTAATGCTGCTGGTGTGGTGGAATTTCTTTCTGCAGGCTAGCATCATCTCACTTCAGAGTTGAGACTGCCTGTGGCTTGCCCTAGGTTTTCTGCCTTTCTGGTTGCTTGTCACATGTTACCTGATCTGTATTTTGGAGTTGTGTTGTGTTGGATCTGGATCTTTGTTCTATCCTTTCCTTTTCTCAGGTCACCAATCCGGAGAAGTACTATTTTTTCCCGGACCAAATGCTCTCTCTGCTCACTGATGTCTATTTGCACCTGGAGAGCAAAGAATTCATGGAGGCCGTTGCCAAGGACGATGTACGTATCTTAACTTTGCTGTGCTCCATGTGGCAGCCTATGGTGCCATTCTTGTTCAACGTAACACATTTGTTTGCCCAGGAATGATGTATTATAGTAGTGTACATTGTGAGCTTGACATTGTTCCTCTGTGCTTTTTTTAACAGCGTTCTTATGACCCTCTACTGTTTGGAGTCTGTGCTAGAAATCTTTTTTCAAGAGGTACAAAGACAGAGGTAAGAGAGCCCTATTCTTTGACTTGTTTGATCGTACAGACTATCATATTTGACTGCTGGTGCGTGAGTACATTGACAGCAGACTGCTTTTACAACTCTACTACAGGCTCTCAGCTGCACCAAGTACAATAAATTGCACTCCTCCCATTGGGTGAACTGTTAATAATTCATTATATTGGATGGAGCTGAGAGCCTGCATGCTTGGAATGGAGATGTTTTCTAGTGTAAAGAACACACTGCAGTGGAGTGTAGGATTTCAGATGAAATATCTGAAGAGAATGCATTTTTTCTTAGTGAGCTATTCTATTTGTTTTCACCACCAACTCCTATTACATGTAACTGTTTTTTTTAGGAGTGTGCCGATCATTTTCCCACTGGTTTTGTTTGTTTATGTGCATATCGTGTTATTTACAGGAGCAAGTGCAGAAGTTCAGTACATTTGGCGACCGCGTTCATGAGCTGTACATTCGCAATGTCAACATGGAGCAGTTAACAGCTGATGCTCCATCTGATTTCAGAGGTAAAGTGTGTCTTTGTGTCCTTTGTCTTTCTGTGTGCATGCGTGTGTGTTGCAGCTTGCTGTTGCATTACGTGTTGAAAATAAGCTGAGTCCCGAGTGATTACGGGAAATAAAAACCCGATGGTAATTATGTTTCCTTTAAGCACAAGGGCGAAGTTTATATTCTATTTAACCCTTTATGGACGGATTACTAGCACAGTATGCACCAGAATTACAAAATGTCAGTACAATCTTCAACTTTTCTATGTCATAACTTTGGTGTCCTTCACTTGATTTTCACAATCAAGGGCTCATTGGAAAGCTCTTGGCGAGAGCTACGTCAGGGTACCAATCTCCATTATCCGGCCGCCACAAATCAGGCGCGGTAACACAGCAAAGTCGTCTCCAAGCCTGATATGCAAGCAAATTCGTCCCATCTACGCCATTCCACTCTCCTTCATCGCAGAACGCTCAAATCTGTTTGAGACGATTCAAACTGCAGCCGGCTACGTCATTATCATGTGCATAGTCGCTCAAAGAGCACACGAAAAGGGATTTTCCCCCAAAATGGCGAAATGATCGATCAAAAATTTGAATTTGCCGAGGTAAGAATACGGCGTGCGATATCTCTGGCGCCCGACATTGTAACTCTTCGGCGATTGTTGCATTGGACAGCTTGGAGTTCCCGCTACCACGTAGACCCTTCGATTGTGGAATTTGCTCAAGAAACAATGGAGTTACGAAGTTTCGATCTTATTAGATCGAAACTCGTACAGTCCGTCCACAAAGGGTTAAATTATGGTATGAAAAACCTCCAGTCATTTGCGTGTTCTAAAAACAGTTCATATTTCCGGTAATTACTCGTATCAGAAACCTCTCGCTGTAAAAAAAAAGCTGTATAAAAACCTTAAAATAGAAGAAATCACATGGAAACGAGTTATGAAGCAACTGTCCACAACTGTAACGAGATAATAAGCAGTCAGAAAGTGCGATAACAGGGCACAAAACTGATATGTTACTTTCTGACTGCTTATTATCTCGTTACAGTCGTGGTCAGTGGCTTCATAACTCGTTTCCATGTGATTTCTTCTATTTTCACCAGTTGTAGTCTTCAGGGTGCTGAGTTGAATGTTCTTAGTCCGAGGAAGCTGAGACGCCCCCTTCCTCCTTTATTCCCAATCGAACTCGCGCACTTCCACCGAAACTGGGTGACTGCATCCTACGTTAGATGGGTATTTGTATGCAAAATGTCACTAAAAGTAAAAGCGCCATTTCGTTCTTATAAAAGCACGGATGACCGCAATTGGCCCATATGTTGTAGTCTTTTGGACGCTGAGTTGACTGGTTTTGGTCCGAAAAGGCTGCGATGTAGCGTTCGGGCCTTATTCCCAATCTATTAACTATTATACAAAAGAGAAAGACCAAGGAACTACAAGTTACGCTATACTGTCCACTAACACCACCAGTTACTAAACAATCAGCTCATGCGATAACATTGCGCTGGTGGTGTTAGGGGACAGTATAGCGTAACTTGTAGTTCCTTGGTCTTTCTCTTTTGTATAAATTAAACCTTGGCTCTCCATCTGAGTCTATTAGTTATTAACTAGACTATCGAGAATCTTGTTTGATTTGATCACAAGGACACTTTCAAAACAGTTCACTGTAAGCTGGTTGGATAGTCAGGTCGGTAAGACTGTACCTTGAGTGCCCACCTTGCTTACTTCATATGTAGTTGTTCCCGTTCATTTTTCATGCTCTTCTTGGGTACAGCTGAGTTCAGAGGAATGGCATTTTTTCTATTGTTTTCCAAGCAAGTCGTCTAAATCACAGTGTATGTGTGTGTGCGTGCGTGCATGCGTGTGTGTGGTGTGTGGTGTATTCTTGTATAGATCCTATTATGGATACACTGATGGAGGACCCTGTCATCTTACCGAGTGGCCTAAGAGTGGACCGTGGTGTCATATCGCGTCATTTACTCAATGAGTCAACTGACCCGTTCAATCGTCAACCACTGACTCTGGATAAGCTTGTGCCTGGTGGGTTACCTCACAGACACCATTGTCTTTGTTTAGGAATGTTATTGTAATTGATTGTCGTTCTTCTGTTAGTATAGGGGAGGAATGCTCTTCGTCAGTATTGTACAGCTTTTGCTCTACGTTTCCCACACTCACAATTCGGCTGGGATAGGTTGACATAACTTTGTTTCGGGGGGTGTCTGTAAGAGTACTCAACGGCAACAACTTTAAGAAACAGAAGCGGAAGAAGACTGAGAGCTCACGGACCCAGCAAAGTAAAAGTTGTTTCTGCTGTAACTCTTGAGCTTCACGGTTTTATCCGATCATCAGACAGCAACTTGCTGTAAGTTGCTGTCTGCTGATTGGTTAAAACCGTGAAACTCAGTTACTGCAGAAACGCTTTTGATTCTTCTCAAGTGTGTGTATAACTAGGTAGATGCACAGCGGATCATAGAATGCACATGGCCCTTTATGGGTGCAGATACCAGTCATCAATGCACTTTTACATGTAACGTTCTGTGTGCTGTGACCACCACTTTAGTAGCTGCATCGGCGCCTTTATCATTGAGGGTAGTGGCATTCCTACGGATGCGGAAAACTCAAACCGTGATTTTTTTGTGCTGGTACAGTTTGCATGAGCGCTTTTTCCAGACTTGGGTGAAAAAGTGATTCTGATATATCGATGTCCGGTAATAGTGCCTGCCTGTGTGTATTTCCTATGCAGACGTTGATCTGAAGAGGCGAATTGACGCCTGGGTTACAGAGAAGTTGGCCACTAAGAAGGAATAAACACAACGTTGGTACTACTGTAGTCTTGGCATGTTGCCTAATCTACCTTTGTCTGTCTCTGTCAAGTGTCTGGACAGTTCAGCGCTACTGCTAGTGATCTTTTGCTCTATCCTGGTGCAGTAGAATAGCTGTTTGAACCCTGCTCTTCCTGCCAATGATGACGGTGGTATCAACAATGTATGTCACTGTGGGCTGGCCTGTCATGACTGCTGGAATATTCCCCTCCCCCCCCCCCCCCTCTCTCTCCTGTATATTATTGAATATCTACACCCCCCCCCCACCCTGTATTATAGCTGTGTGTTCCATTGTTGTATTTATTTTTTTGTCTGCAATTCATCTCTGTACATTTTATGTTTTATATGTTCTATTCTCTAGGTTGTCTTGTGGCTCTTGCCTGTGTCTTGCTCTTCCTCCTAGCATGGGGGATAGCATGCCAATCCTACCTGCTAGTACTTGTTTATTTTATACAGAACCTAACCCTTACAGCATGTGTGTCAGAGTGACCCACACACTTGCACACGCGGAGTAACACACACACACACACACACACACACACACACACACACACACACACACACACACACACACACACGGAGTAACACACACACACACACACACACACACACACACACACACACACACACACACACACACGGACGGACACACACACACACACACACACACACACGTGCTCACAGAGACCACGTATACTGTGTAAATGCCCTTCTTGCGGCTTGACGTTTCCATATTTGCCTGCTACATTCATAGCTTCCCTTTATTCACACAACCAAAAAACGTAGATGCTCACATGTTTTTTTTACTCAGAAAGAACTCATCTGAACGTATTGTCGACATGTCAGGTCTCGATTCAACTACTTGCTGGACTAAAAAACGCTGTACATATATGTAGCTATAGGGTATCACACAAGCCCTTCCCCTCTCTCTCACCTCATGTACATGTACATACTCTACCGTGCATTATTGTAATTGTGCTGATCTGTGTGTTGTTTTTTTGCCCGGAGCATCGCTGAAGAGTGCGCGCACCCACTGTTTACACAATCATGTACTTATCTCCCATGTCAAGACTGACTACATACAGTCCATGGTTGATATCCACAAGAATTAATTTGCATTCTTTCAATCTTTGGTTAAAATTAAAAGAAGTTCACGGTTCGCGTGAGACTCGGCTGGAAGCCCAGTTTCCAGTAAAAAAATAAAAATAAAATTAAGCCACGTGTATACGACTCGCTGGTCTGCATGCATCTGATGTCTGCTGATGTCATTTAGACTCTACAATGTTGATGCTGTGAGAAAGTCTCTTATATCAATAATTACCCATATAAAAACCGCTCTGTGAGCGGTTCTGAAAAACCTCTACTGGTGCAGCCCCGTCGTAAAAGTAAGAAATTAGAACTGGCGCATTGTCCTCCCAAATGTGAACTGATCCACCTAAATCGCGATTGACGGGACCCGAACGCACCAGTAGCACGAGGTTCCTACAGTGCGTTTTTTTAAAACAGACATTTGTCGATTTTGATTTTTTAGTTTGTTCTCATTCCAAATTTGAAATTTTTTCTTCACAGCTGCGTTTGTGTGGGTCTTGGATCGAAGAAAATTAAGTTTGAGAATCGGAATAATAATAATTGTCAAAGTTAGATATTCGGACGGGTTTTGGCTGAAAATCCGGTTTTAAATGGTTTTCAGTGGATTTTGATTTTAAAACGAAAGTTTTAGCCAGGAAAGCTCATCACGTGCATGGTGTCCGCCAGAGTTCGAATCCAGTACAGACTTCATCTTGATTCTTTTTTTCTCTTCTTTTTCGGTACCGCGCATGCATGTACATGTACCGTAAAGTACCGTTGATCCGCCCCCACGCCATGTCGCTTCCCAGCTGGGTTTTCGGCAGGGGGCGGGAATTAGATCAAGGCTGTCAAGTGCAGTACGATGTACAACAACGTAGAGGATCAGTCTCAATGTGCTGGATTGTGCACATTTTGATCCTGGATTGGCAAGTATTGTGTACAGCAGTGTATGCGTCGGTTCAACATCGTATTTCGTTGTATACGCCGAAGTCGCTTCACAAGGAGAAAATCGACAGGGGGCGGGAATTAGAGAGGGGGCGGATCAACGGTACTTTACGGTACATGTACATGACTGTGCAGTTGTGCACTGCTGTCTGCAGTTCTCCTAACCTTTGTAGGAAACCAATGAGTCGTGGCTTTTCACGACTTACTGTGGCAAACTGTACTGAATAATTCAAATGCTGTATTGCAATTAGCTCAATAAATCAAAACATTCCAGCATCCATGTAGGAAACTTCAAACTTCCCTCGATCCCTGAAAGAATGCAGTGAAAATTCAAACACCACAACAAATCACAAGGGCAATTCACACAGCACCCATAAAGAGACTAAAAGGAAGCAATACATGAGCAGTTTTACAAACACACACACACACAATGCAAATAGGTCACAGTTGTGTCTGGTTCAACATCTGCGAATAGTAGAAGACCAGCGAGCGTCGAAACGGCCCCAATAATTCCGTGTTTTGTGTTGCACTTGTGACGACAGTATTACACAGTGAACAGATGTGCTAGGACAGCCGATGACGTATATCATCGTTGGCGTTGGCCTCGACGGTCTCCAGTCACGAACACATCGGCGCAGTTTTTCACGAATCCGTCCCGTCCACCAGTATGCAGAACAATAAAGCGCTTGCCTTTACCTGATGGTGCTTCATTTGGTTGCTTGCCTATACACTCCTGTCACCATTGTCGGACCACCTCCTAGTAACTGTGTGACGCGCATTGACCCACGTGTCATCCAGGTATGTCTCACAGGTAGCGATGCCGCCATGACACAATCCCGTGCCGTTCCATCATCATGTGTGTGATACCTCTGGTCTTGCCACACTGGAATCCCATGGAACGCAACATTTTCCAAGAGCTAGTTTTGCTCATGTCTGGAAAATCGTCGATGCTTTCTATGCAGCGAGCACAAACTTTGTCCAGTGTTGGGTGCTCCTTCGCAGCATAGAATCCGTAAATTACTTCTTATACAGTCCAAAGCAAATCCGTCAGGGTTGAGTGGTTTTATGGCACGAGTCTCACATTGGGGATTGTCACTATCGTTACCTTCATCACTGGAGACAGACAAGGCCAACGCAGCACGCTGATTTTCGCCGTCAGCATCCCTGGTACATCTGTTCTTGGTGGAAATGCTGACGCCACACGCAACAGCAGCATGACGAATGGAATACTTGGGACCAATTCGATGCCCAGCCATTGTTCTCCTCGTCTTCGCAAAAATTGTAAAACAGACACCACCATGTAGATTCTACCATGGCCCGTTCGCGCTTTGTTATAATTATGTTGCATGTCGAGAGAACAAGTTGCCACGAACGAAAAGACACTCGAGAAAAAGCAAAATAGGGCCACAGTCAGTCAGCAACAAAATGATTCCTCCAGCCACGAGGAGCTCGAAGGACACTCTGAATCTGAAAATGGCGAAATGCCACGAGTCACACCTGGTTTTCGAATTTCGCGCGCAGATTTTCGTGACGCAACTCGCATGACATTTTCTCAAAAGTGGCCTTGAGTACGTTCTCAAGGATTTCAGAGTCTATTATAAAAAAACGCACTGTACCTGTGGATGCAGCTGGGGACGCTGGCCAAAGCCAAAGCGGCAAAGGTGGGCTTCGGTGTAGATCTAAGTGTTGTATGGTAACTTGATCAGCGCCGACGCCGGCTGTGATCCTGTGCCCTCCCGACCTCGTGCTACTGGTGCGTTCGGGTCCCGTCAATCGCGATTTAGGTGGATCAGTTCACATTTGGGAGGACAATGCGCCAGTTCTAATTTCTTACTTTTACGACGGGGCTGCACCAGTAGAGGTTTTTCAGAACCGCTCACAGAGCGGTTTTTATATGGGTAATTTCAGTTCTTTTTCTGTTCCCTCCCCCACCCTAGCCCAGCTCCGAAGATAAACATGGTGAGCACGCGCGCGATGCACTGTATGTAGCCATGCAACTACAGTAGCACACTGATACATTCCAGCCCTCCCCACCTCGCTACCCCGCACACAGACACCTTGTGACAAACACGCACATGCACATGGCACACACACACATGGGCACGCACACACATACATACACACACACGACCCAAACAGGAAATTCTTGATGAACATTGTATAATGCCATGCAAAGCAGTGGCCACCATACTTCAGGAAGTCAGTTGTGAAACAAAAATAATTCAACTACATGTACAATGTGTAGGTAAGCTAGCGGCCAAAGCACAATATTGCAAACCGTGATGATATTTGCCTAAGGATTGCAGTTTGCAGACCACACCATGGAAGCAGTGAATACAGAATTATTGTAATGTCATACAAAGACAAGCAAAGAAGTGGCCACCATACACCAGAAACTTGCAGAAAGTCACATATCCAACAGATAGAGAAGTGAACAGCGTCTAGTACAGCCCACACAAAACCAAGCTGACCTGATACTCGTCCGAAGATCGTAAGTGGCAGATCCTTTTCAACGATAGCATGCAGGTGTACGTTACACGCATGGACAAAATCTGACCGTGTCACCGGCATACATTGTCATCACATGCATACCCCACAGGTTACACACATGCACAGTAGAAGCACAATAAAAGCAATGGAAAAATATGAAGGGGTTGCTGAAGCATCTTCACACTTCAATTTCAGACTTCGATGTGGTCGTCACGGGGTGATATACCTGCAAGATACAAGTGATACAGAAAGAAAGCATAAGGTCGTGAGGTAGGCTATGAGACACCACAAATGGGTCACCTACATGTATGTTCAGGGCTGGTGTACACACACACGCAGAATTATCATAATCGAGAATTTCCCAAAATACAGAAGAGCAATGAAATCCATTTGCATGCACAGGAGCAATTTTGCAGTATGATGAGCAGCTCGGGAATACACCTGTTGGCAATGGATTACATTCCCATTGGAATTCCCATTCACGTGGGATTCACAGAAGCAATTTGGCAGTGTGCTGCGCAATGCGACACGACCTGCGATTCTGCGTGCGATGCAAACTCGCACAAAATACCATTCACAGAATCAGGACAAGACGTCAGCGATGCAACAGCGCCTTGCTGACGTGCCTCAAGTCAAAGCTCAATGAGAATGCGTTTGTCGGTTACAACTGGTACAAATGTGCAAGCAATTTCTGAAAATGCTCCTGTGAATCCTGCTTTAAGGAATGTCCCTCCTCCGCTCCCCCCCCCCCCCCTCCACACCTTCAGGGAACTTGACAAGGAAGGGTGGTCTTCGCGGTTCCCAACATCTATTTGCAGTTTCTGGTCTCCACTGTGTCTTTTCAATGGGGATTTGTACGTACCATAAAAGCAAGCCTAAAAAATGAACAGCACATTTGCCGTTCCCCCACTGGGGAGGATGCGTTCCACAGCTATCCTGACAAGATATTCCGAGAAGCGGTGCTGAGTGCAATGCATTGTGAAACTGAAAAAGCTGACCAAGCCGCGGCATATAACGTCTAAACTTCAATTGTAGTTCGCCAGCTGACTACTTTCAAACTCCATAAAGGTTGGAGTACAGCTGGCTTAGAAGTTGACAACAACGGCGCACGCACATAAGCAATGGCCACCTTACCTGTACTGTAGCAGTACTTCCGAGTTCCCGTATGGGAGTTCCCTCACTGTGTGTGCAATAGCAGCCTCATCGGACCAGTTCAATGCGACGCGGACAGTCCGACACTGAGGAGGACATTGAAGAAGTCAGAGACAGGAAGAATGGTTGATTTACAATTCAACTAGCAAGGCTGCACACCCACGAAGTTCCACTCACCATTGTGCCGTCCTTCTTGGAATGCAGAAATAACGCTTCCTCTCGAGAACGCAGCCTGTGACAGAGAAAAAGGAAGGAGCATCGCCATCGGCATTGGTCCTCTGCTATCACCGATTGCCGAGTTGCACAGTTCACTCTAACAAGACTGAGGATGTTCAAGAACTCCCCATCCATACCATTATTGGAGTAAGAGGAAAGGTCAGATTGCCTAGTTCCTAGGGCCTAGCATTCCTGGATGCCAGGATGTGCTGCCCCCCCCCCTCCCTTCTACTGTCTGGAAAGGGCAACATATGTGACAGCGTTCACCAGTACAGTCGGAGGAGAACATGGGAGAAGGCAAAAAAGGGCAACACACATGAATCCCTTATAAACAAGCAGTGGCAACTCTAGCACCAGCAATGTTGGACTTACATCCCAGCCATTGCCGCCGGATTCAGCGGCTTCTTCTTCTTCGTCTCCCATCTTGGAAGCACTCCTTCCCGTAAGTTCAGTCCTGGGATCGGGAGTACAGTCGGAGGAGGACGTCGGAAAAGGCAAAAAGGCAACACACATGATTCCCTTATAAGCAAGCAGTGGCAACTCTGGCACCAGCAATGTTGGACTTACATCCCAGCCATTGCCGCCGGATTCCCACGCTTCCTCTTCGTCGTCTTCCAGTTCCCAGGTTCCATCTTGCAAATACTCCTTCCCGTAAGTAAGTGCAGTCCTGGCCTGGGTGGATGCGCAGTACATTGACGATGGCGGAGATGGAGCAGGTCAGGGAGCCCTATAGGGGTCCCGAGAGCAGATTGTGGCCAAATTCGGGACGATGCCGGACGCCAGTCAGTATGAAGTAGCGAATTGCGGACCGCCACGTAGATTGGGGTCGCGGGGTCATAATCCATGGGCACTACTCGTACGTTGCTCCAAAAAAGGGCACTGCACTGTTCCACAGTTGCTGTTAGCGGTCGCCAAAGGCACTTGGTAGGCAGGTAATTGGGTCACGTGTCAACAAAGTGTCAACAACGTGTCAACAACGTGTCGACCACGTGTCTTCAGCGGTACACTAATTTTGGTGTCCCCAAACTGAAAACATCGAGCACCAGTATGGAAAGGCTTTAGACAGAAAGCCTTTCCAATTATAATGCTCCTTCTCGTGCTTGATGTAGATCTACATCAGGGAGTCGTACCAAAACGGTTTCAACTTTGGGTACGACTCCCTGATGTATATGAGGTGGCCCGGTTTGAGGGGGCATGAGGATTGAAACCCTCACGTCCATGAAGGTGCGCTCAAACCGGCCACCCCAGATGCTACTTTCCGCAACGTCGAGACGAGCCTGTTCCGAGTCTGCATGGTCTGGTGCGATACCGGAATTGCTATGAATTGTAGCTTCAATACAAGCGTCTTTAATAATTATAGCTCCGTTTTGCCAGCAAATTCTCTTGTCAAATTCTTCGATATTTTGCATGCTAGCAAAATCGGGCAATGTCATTATCAATCATGCATGCTGTCAAGAGAGAGAGGGTTATTGGACTCTTGACCTTGTCAAAGTCTTGTCGTCTTGATATAGGTTATAGCAAGAGTAGATAAACAAGAGTGTGCAACTCCGGATCTCTCCTGCACAATCTGCAGATACCCCCGCCCACGGCGGAATTTTTTGTTGACGTCACCTTTTTTCAGAGAAACGCGGACTTTGCCGCAGAGCAGTGTGAGAGCACGTGCTGGGCACAGACATGTAGTGTTTAAAGCCCGGCCAAGTGCACGAGGGAAACCTCTCCAAAAGGCTCGCAGCGCGTGCGTCGTCGAAAAGATTACGTCAACAAAAAATTCCGCCGTGGGCCAACCCATCCGCGAGTTGCACACTCTTGTTTATCTACTCTTGGTTATAGCAAGAGTCCATAATGGACTCTTGGTTATAGCCTAGGGCCGGTTTGATGATCACGGTATTATTTCGTACTTCCTTCTTTCGATGTGTCAACAACCAGGGAGTCGGTATTTTACGACTCCCTGATAACAACTGTCAGACCAGGGAGTCGTATTTTACGACTCCCTGTGTCAGACTCGCGACGTAGAATCTACTCGTCGATATGCGATCAGATCATCTGAACATGACGTGATCATGGTGATCGTGATGCATGCAATTGGCGCGATCGTTCAAACACAAGTAAAACTCTCGAGTAAAAAATGAAAAAGAACACAAACAATCTTGCATGTGTGTGGTGTGGCGTTGTGGCACGACAAGCAGCGAAGTCCCCGTCTGTTGCTCTTCCATTGATCCGGGCAAGAGTTGTGTAGCCAAGCAATTTTGGCTGCTCAGATAAACCGAAGGAGACCTTTGTCGTGAGGAGCTGTTCGTTTCGCGTATATACCCCACTAGTAGGACAGAGTCTTGTCTCGAGTGCGAACCATGTCTCAAGACTTTGCTGTGATTTTGTCGGAATGGCTGGAAAAGGAGATGGAATACGGAGGTCCTGTTACCTCTGACATGTTGTCCAGGTAACTAGTCTTATCGCATCATAATTATATCAATTTGGGAGCAAGACACATAGCGCTAGATATTGTTGTCGTGTGGATTCATTCAACAGAATGGCTCATGGTCGAGCGTCAGGAATGTTTCGTCATCTGGTGAAGAAAGTCCACTCGAAGCGGTAAGAGTTTCTAAAACTGAGCTTTTCGACATGTCCTGGCTTTTCAAGGAAATTTTATACCACACTGCGATAATGAAGTACTTAGCTCAAAAGACTAAATGGATTAAAGCAGCAACATGATTCAGTGTGTCATGTCAGACATGTAAAATACCGATCCCATGGCAACAGCATACATGTATCCCTTCGTTATGCTGCAATACCCTAATTAGGCTATCAACCATTATACCATGGCACGGCATGGAGTGCCTGTTTTCAGCCAATCAGCGCTCGTCTAGCCATGGTTATATTGACCAGTATAAATCCCGGTGCACGGTTCGTACGCTATGGCACTGCCACCGTACAACGTCACTTTCAAAGGCAGAGACCTTGTACAGTTGCAGTACTCCAGCGCACGGACTATTCACAGTAGACACAACAGACAACACATGCATGTGTACACTCCACACAGAACGGCATTACTGACGAGGAACAGTACACAATGGAAAAGAAGAATGACTTGTCTATTCTTTATGGTGAATCTGAGGACAAGAACGTCGAATCATCACATGCACAGAGTATCCAGAATGGATCAACGATGTACTTCGAAGAGTTAAAGATCATCAACAGACTGTCTCCTTCGTAACTAACTAGGTGATACAAAGTTAAGTCTACTTCAAATCCACCTACACTGATTGGAAAATGCTAGAATGGAATGAATTTAAGAAAAGGTGATGCGGAATTTGCAAAAAATGCATCTACATGTAAGCTAAATTGATTTCAAGATGCCGCATGTGAAAATCAGCATTGTATCACAATTATAGTAAGTTGTGTAACACTTACTCCCAAAGTGTCTCAGGTCTAACTAGTCGCAGTAGTTTGGTTCAACGACAGCTCCAGCACTCCAGCGATTCGGTTGACTTCCACACCGCTCATGGGGCGATATGCTACAATATACACAGGAACTGAAGGAAATCTTATGCAAAACATCCACAGAGAAATCTCCTGATCTTGCTCGACCATTCTTTCATTTGACAACTGATAACCATCAGAACATGTTTATGGACTGCATGATCTCCTGCTCACCAAATAGGGTACGTTCTGGAAATGCGTAAGGGTACCTGGCATAAGTAGAATATGACCGTCGTAGTTGGGTTATACCGTACCCTCATATAAATCCCTCCTGCTATCGCAGTCATGATTTATATTCAGCCGGTAAAACTCTCTCACTCGGGTTATATCCTCTACATACAGTCAACTTCGCTAATAACGACTGCGGATATAACGACAATTCGCGAATAACGACAGAATTCCCATGCCCAGAACAAAGTCCATTCTACCTGTATACATATAATGAGACTTCGGGTATAACGACACTTCGCGAATAAGGACACTTTCTGATGCCCGGCCGAGTGTCCTTGTACGCAAAGTTGACTATATCTGTCCCTCCAGGAACTTGCGATTCCGCGGCCGCGTTGTTTTCCGCGATTTGAACAAAAGTCCGTGATATCCGCGATATTTGAAAAATCATCCGCGTTATTGTAGAAAACTGTCCTTGATACTTGAAAAGCACCGCGATATTTCGAAAAGCAACCGCGATATTCGAGTCTTTCTTCGATGTTGTTTAGTTCTTGAAGCTCATCAGTAGTTTACTTGTGAGATCGACACCAGAATGGAGAAGTTTCTGGGCAAATCAGCGGCTGACAAGTCACAAAATAAGGCTCGCGTCGAGTGTTGTCCGAGGATGGAGGAAAGCTGTCTTGCAAGCTCCTGTCAGGCAGGTGTGTGGAGTTGAACACAGTCAGCGCAGCACACGTTCTGTTTTGTCATGCATGATTTATGCTGTACGGCTCGTACATCGCACACCACTACAGTACAAGTACACCAAATCGGCCGCAATTTCCGCAATTTTACCACAATAATCCCGCAATATTTGACAAAATCCGCATTATTCCCCGCAATTTATGGCGTTTTACCTCGCAACTTTTTCCGCAATATTTCCGAAATGTCTCCGCAAGTTTCTGGAGGGACAGCTATATAGTTGATCTAATGTGCAATCCATGTATACATGTACCTGTAGACAGGTCATTTGGATGAACTTCTCGCGTGATTCACCGAGGCTTTTTACGATGCGATCTGCGACTACGGCTTGCGATGCGAACTCGCGAAATGCCATTCATAGAAGAAGTCAGCGAGGCGACGTCGCCTTGCTGATCTGGCGCGAAGTTCAATGCAGTTGAGGGCGTCACCATAGTATTCGCATGGCTTGGTACAACTTTTACAAATCTACAAGCAACTCTTGAACCTTTGTACAACTTTGCTGCTGAAACGGTCAAAATCGTACGCTGCATCGCTTGTCGCATCGCGAACGATCAGTGAAGCTCAACTTCTGCGATGGCCCAGTTGCGACAGTTGCATTAGCTGCGATACGGATGCGATCATTTGGGGATTTCCCGTTTTCTTGGCTATCGCGCATCGCAAAGATGCTTCTGTGAATCCTGCTTACAGTCAACTTTGCGAATAACGACACTCGGTGGGGCATCAGAAAATTGTCCTTATTCGCGAAGTGTCCTTATACCCGAAGTCCCATTTGAATGTATGTGAACCCATACTTGTGTAGTATGACATGCATATCAAAATGAAGCTCTTTTCATGCTCTATGTCAATGTGTACTTTATTTTCATATTGCAATTGCAAGGAACCATAAAGTCAGTATGCAAGGGAAATAAATTGAAGAATAAGCCTTTTGGAGCCATCTACAGGGACATGTACATGTATGATGATTACTGTACAATCATGTACAACTACATGTACATGTAGCTGTGCTGAGTGCTCCAACTATTTTGAAGCAAAAAAAGAAAAGAAAATAAGCCCCCCCCCCCCCCTTGGCTACATTTTCTTGCATGTATGCCATTATCCATCACCATGGATTCTGGTACTTCTGCATGACAGGTACTTGAATAGCTGTCAAAAGCCCAGAAAGTCGTTACTCAAGCAGTGAATTTGACCTCGGGGCACTACAATCATGTCGCTATTTGCGAATTGTCGTTACTCAGATAGTCGTTATATACAGTTAGATGGGACTTTGCTCTGGGCATGGAAACTCTGTCGTTACTCGCGAATTGTCGTTATATCCGCAGTCGTTATTCGCGAAGTTGACTGTAATTGTTATGCTCTGTATCTTCCTTTGCAGGACGGTGGAGACAGTCTTGGGAAATCTTTCTCTGTATCCTCCTTGTTTGCTGCCATCACTCAGCTGGTTGTAGTAAATTTGAAGTCCCCTCGCAAGCTGTACATGACTTTCTTATTGGGTGTTTTGGTTGCACTTCAAGATGCATTCCTGTAGCCCAGTATTCTTGTAGCAAGTACCAAGCACACACAGCTATCGGCACTATGAACTAGTGTTGAAACGAGCATATCTGTAACAAACAAGCGACCAGTTCGAGTTTCACTGATGTGGCAAAGATGATTTTTATTTTATTTATTCAGGTTGACAAATGCCTCGAATTTTCAACCCTCGCACTGGGGTTGCTGCTGCTTTTGACTGGCTTCACTTCGGACGGGTATTGTCGAGATGTCTTTTCAGCGCCTTCGCTGAGCAGCCGTTGTAAGAATAGACTGTTTTGGAAAGATTGCAAGTAGCCTTGTTCTTTGTTGCATTGCGGGGAAAAGGAAAAAATTCCACACGACTAAGCGTGACTTTCGCTTGAACGGAGAGTTCACTAGGTGCACTGACTGTACTGTAATGTGTATGTCGTACCGTATACGGTGCTCGTCAGTGTAAATGACCTTGCCATGCAGCCGAGCCGAGTTTCTGGCGAGCGAGCTAACGAGCACCCGGTGAGATCCTTCCAACACTAGTATGACTATGAGCAGTTGTTTACCTTGACTTCTTGTTTTACAAATTTCTGAAGTCACTCTAACACCAAGCAGGCTAGACCATCTAGCCTTCATCTCTGTCCCCCGCCACCATCTACAATGTCTACGAGTGAGAGGCAGAAACTGTTAAGCAAGCGTGAGCGACTACAGCAGCAAGTGCAACACCTGAAGTCCACTAAGAAACAACTTGCCCTCGACCTGTCCCTGCTTAGGAACACACTCACAGAAAAAGGTGAGAGAACTGAAACAGCCGAGTACTACTGATATGCGATGTCCTTGGACTACGACATAGCTCAAATTGGTGAACCGTACGTAATTTGTATTAAATCAGACGAAAATGTGGTACATGTAAATGCACGATAGCAAATGTGTGTGTTTGTTGCTGCTCATCTGTATGTGCTTAGAATCTGAAGTGGCAGCTCACCGAAGTCGCATCAGTGAGTGTCGACACCAGACTTGTGTTTTGGAGCAGCAATCTCTCTCGGCCGGTCAACAGCTGCACACTTTGAATGAGATGTGCTCCCAAATCAGGACAATTATCACCAACCAACAGTAGGTTGTGATATACCCGTGTATTGCACGGTGTTCTATGGTGTTTGCTGTTTATTTGCCCCAACCGATGTTCCAACGGTTGGTGAGGGATCTGGATAAATGAGGTACCAGATAAGGAAGGTCCGACTGTACTGGTACTTTGAAGTACAGTATAACTCCCCTAATCCGGACGCCCCCTAATCTGGGCACCTTTCTGGCCCATCTAGAGTCACAAAAATGGAGCTTTTCAACGAAAAACGGCCCCCAAAACTATTGATTGGCATAAAAAAAAATGTTTGCTTGCTTGCACTAAGACTTAGTAAGTATGTATGTTCTGAGTTATGGGCAATTCCTAGCTACGGGAAGTGCCTGGTCCCAACCTGCCCGGATTGGGGGAGTTTTACTGTATGATGTGGTTCCTTACTGGACATCTGTACAGTATACAGTATACATGTATGTGTACATGAAGGCAGCTTGGGCTCTTTTACTGTTCTTATTCAGGGAGAAGCAGAAAGCTGGAAGCAGTACTCAATATAGTACAAGTGGTGCAGACGGTGTACTGGAATCTATTCCCCTGGTAAGGTTTGTCCTACTTCCAGTATTATTTCAAAACAATCTTTCCAGTTTGAGAAGAAAGACCTGCGTAGATCTACCCGGTACATGTATTTATAAGTACATAAAACACGCTTCTGATGTTTGCTTTATTGTGAGGGAAGCTAGAAAAAATATTTATTCTTCACTTGGCTTTTATCGTTTTGTTTATGGCTCCCACCGCTTAGGAGCTGCATCTGCGCCTTGATCCTAGAGGGTGGTGGCGTTCCTACGGATGCGGAAAACTCGGCTTCCAGCCGAGTCTCACGCGAACCGTGAATTTTCTTAATTTTTTTAATGGCATTGAGAAAAGGAAACGGTGCACCAGCTTCTCCAATCTCGTTCAGTACTGCCGGGCACCGAATGACGGAGCACCGAAGAACGACCAGGCTGGAATTTCATTAAGCACAGCATACCAATGTATACCCGGTGACTCAACTGCACATAGACTGTAATACATGAAAAATAAGAATGGTCTAGGCTAGGAGGCTGCCCCCCCCCCCCCCCCCCCCCCCCGTTCTTCGGCGACCGACAGTACTGTACTGTCACCTAGACACTGACATTGACTCGACAGTTCCGAGTCCTTGATTTTCACCAGTCTCCACTTATGGTGGCAGTGCAGATAGTGTGTGTGCAGTTACCATGGTTGCGGTTTGTTGAGAAAAACAGACACGGGGTGGGCTGTATTGCCGCTTTGGGTACTCAAGAGCATGAATTATGAGGTTGCAGTTGAGTGAATCGTTCTTTCTAGTAAGTGAGTATGACAGATCAGAACATAGATACATGCTAACTTATAGTCGGAGTTGAAAACAAGATGCATGATGAAGGTTATGGACTGGTATGCTGAAACACGTGGATGCTCCTTTTGTTGGCCCTATCGTGTAACATGCAGCAAGAAACACGCACTGCTGTTCAAGAGACAAAGGAGTTCCTTTTTCGCTATTACCAGGGGCAGTCATCAGAAAGGTCAGTGCTGGCTTTACCTGTGAGTACGTTATGAGCACGTACCACATTGAGCTATGTCGTAGCAGTACATGTGCATGGTCGGTGGCGTGAGGGTGCCCTGCGATCATGAAATGCATCATACGGCTAGGGGCTTGTACTTTTGGGAGATTGGACTTGTCTGCGATGTGCTCGAAAAGTTGGCAAAACAAGCATGATAATTGTCATGCACATGTACATACTGCATATTTGCTCAGAGTACACTTACAAGAAGGTCATTGGAAGTAGTATTGTCGTATGTGCTTGCTTGTTACCTGATTGCGACCAGGAGTCACTTGGATATGGACAAACATTCCGTCTGGTCCAAAGTTGAGGTGAGCCACAGAGTGCAGCTTGATTGTACGCTCAATGTGTGGTGATAATCATCATCCAGGCTTGCAACCGTTATATTGACAACTGTAAATGACCCAAATTTGACTTTTCCCGCTGCAGCCCTCACCCACTAGCTTCTTAGGAATAGGCTATTGTTCCGGGGTGTTCTCATGTACAGCTGCTGTTCACCGGCATCGGTATCGCTGCACATCAGCAGACTTTGCAGCAGACTGTGCTTCTGTGTGGGTATGTGTTTGCCGGGTGCGAGTCCAAATCACAATGGCAACACTGTTGACCTTTGGCTTTGGATGAAGCAGGCCTACGCCCGTCAACATCTACCCTGTCAACTGGCGAGAATCTTTCTTCGTCTTTTGCTGTGCATTCAAATCCTGCAAACACCGATCACTGACACAGTGTGTACTAGTACTTATCCTAATTAATTTTGAGGCAATCAGAAAACTGTGGATACTTATGCGACAGGGGATCTTTTTCCACGATCACTGTCCTGGCGTATCTCGCATGAAACATATTTAAAAGAAATATGTGTGTGTTTGCAGTCTCTCTGGAACAAGTATCCGCCAGCAACTATCATCTCCTCGCTACAATCGCTTGCCGATGAGCATGCACAGCTCACCACCCAGCAGACTAGTAACATTGATCTGAAGGCGGACTCTGACAAGCTCAGGTCAGTGTTAGGCCGCCGCCTTTAGTCTACATATCACAGTCACGCTGGCTAACGTAAGAGCAATGCTCTGCGACCTTGATGACACCTCCTCATACTTGCTCAGGCATATGTTCCTACTTTGTCTTTTTAATAGTTTTTCATTCTGGAGTTTCTATGGACCCACACTGCTATTGCTAGCATCAAGAGTACCTACCCCCCCCAAGAGTGTGCAACTCCCGCATAGCCTGCTGTCCCGACAGAATTTTCAATTGACGTCATTTTTATGATGCAATGCTCCTTGCACCAGTGATTTATGACATCTGCACAGGACGTCAACGCATCACACATTCCTTGAACTAGTTTGTGCAGGATCAAGTAGGGCGTTGTCCACCACAGGTTCAGGATACGTCTGATACAAATATGTGTACAGTGTGCATTGCATCCTAAAAGTGACGTCAACTTGAAATTCTGTCGGGACAGCACCCATCGTCGAGTTGCACACTCTTGGGGGTTATGTACAGTAAAACCTGTGACTACCGACCGCCCCTTGGTGCCAGCAAAAGCGGTCGTTAGTAGCAGGTGGTCTTTAGTTAGAGGTTTGCACCGCGTGACCATATATGGATCCCATTATATGATATGTATGTCAAAATGCAGCTAATACAATTCCCCAGGACTTGCGCAATGTCATTCTTATTTCAGGTCAAACAACACTTGGAGAGAAAGACGGAGAGATAGATAGAGACAGAGAGAGAGAGAGAGAGAAGATTAATTTTTTGCAGACTTCATATTCAGCTGCTACTTCTGAAGCCAGGAGTCAAACGTTCCCTGGCGAAGTTTCGTTTTGCGCTGGGCTTCAAATTTGTTCATGCGATCAATCGTACCGACTGTCCTTGTTGTGACTCCTCGATTGCTTGAACGCGATCCTTCAGCATCAGGACCTTGTGGTGCTGCTTTGTTTCTGGATTCCTTGGTGCCATCGTCCGAGTAGTAACATCGATCAGAGAGCGCTTTCGATGCGCTCTCCAAGACGTTTCCTATCATGTTTATTCTTGACAGCGCTTGAAATTTTGACAGGTGTAGTGCAGTCCACGCCGACTCCACGGTCAAAATTACCTGCGTTCATTTGTTCAGCTGTAGTATCGAAAGATTCCTTTCAGGACCATGGAAAATCAGCAAAATTTCAAGAAGGAGCTTCGAGCAACATTTGATTTCCCACATCGCGGTCGCTAGTTACGGGTCAAACATCGTCTTTGGGACAAGAAAAGGCGGTCGCTGGTCGCGTTCAGCAGGTAGTCGCTAGTCACAGTGCATTTTGAATGTGAGATCTTCCGTGCCTGGCGAAGTGGTCGGTAGTACCAGGCTGGTCGCTAGTCACGGTGGTCTTTACAGTCCATTTCAAAACTATAGACGCGTACCTAGGCAAAAACCGTTATGCCAGCATCTATACCACATAAAATCTGTGATCACTTTGTGCATAAATTTTTCCAAATTGGGCGTCTGTTATCCAATCCTTTAGAAACTATATGAGAGTAATTGTGGAGCGATCCTGAGCAATATTCCGAAAACTATTCTCAAAAAGTTCCAGCCAAATTTGAAATATTTCAAAAACCCTACGCGTCTATAGTTTTGAAATGCACTGTAGTTACAGGTTTTACTGTACTCTTGCTACCGTAGGATCAGGACAAGGAAACGACAAACTTTTAGAACTCTTCAATCTCTCAATCCTACTGTTAAGCAACGGTGGGGCGTTGCAGTGTTCAATGGCACCTTTTGTGCTTTTGCTAATATTGGAAGTTTTCATTGGTGTGTTTGTCCTTCCTCAGACTGCAAGGTAGCTCTACATCATCTCCAACGATTGCCAACTCACTGCAGAATTTAATTCAGGTACAGTACCGCAACTTGTACCGCAATTGTCCATATTTTTAGTAGAATATTTTCACGGGAATTACTTCAGAAGTACAACTTTGTCTGCACGACTGCAGACTACAGTACAGATGTAGCATAAATAGTAAATACCCCGCAGAATTAAAAGTTTTCTTGAAACCAATTTTGGTACGTGTGACTTGATACATGTGCTCGTACATTGGGGGACGTGAAGCTCGCGTGTGTGTGGGTGAGTCCGAAGCCTGTCCATGTGCAAACGCTCACTCTGGTGTGCAAGTCATGGGTGGTAAGTTGTTGACATGCAGAGTAGTCCTCTCAGGCTTCCTCTTCCCATGTGGCAAAGTCAGCCAAAGACGTAGTAGAAAACAACATTGGACGATCCACAGACACCGGCTTCAGTGTTGATGTGGGTGTCGAGCGTGTAGAAGTCGTAGTCGGGGCTGTGGCTGCGGGCTGTTGGAGATTTCTCAAAATATCTTGACACTTTTTAGACAATTGCTGTTCTCTGGCCTCAGCTTTCATCTGAGCTGCAACTAGCCTTGTAGTGAGAGCAGCGACTCCAGAGAATTTTGCGTGGCCATCATCGTCCGACATCTCGAAACCGGTTCGACACGAACAAACTACAAACTAATTTAAAATTTCCGGCCCGTGCGCAACACAACGAGGTGGAAACAAAGTCTGTCACTCAGGGCACGAAAAATAGCAACTAAAAACAGGTTTGTTCTACAAGGGACAAGTAGTTCACTGCGCCATGTGATGTCTGCCTTCACACGCACAAACACTCAAGACAATGGGTTGAGGTTGTGGGAGTATAAAATTTGACAGGTGTGAAGAAGACAAGTAAAAGAACAGCCGACAAGATCTAGCCAAGCATGCACTCGGGGGGCGACTAGTCTAAGATGGCGCAGGCTGATTGTGCCGTAACATACAGGCAAAACATAATTATGACATACTATAAGACATGTAAATATAACGAGGAAGTAAATCTAACGTTTTAACGAGTTACAGTGCGTATCGGTTATAGTGTGGTCGTGTAAAAGAATATACTGCCTACAAGAATGAACTCTCCTATTTTCATAATCATAACATTGGTTTCATGTGTATATTTATTCTTACAAGCAATGTTATCCTGTAATAGAATATATCGGTCCTAAGAATGGACTTTGTGTAGCAAAACATGCCAGATTAGTACGAAGTGTATCGCCTGTAGTAATAACATCTGCCCGATACAGTTCTGAACCGACTCGAATTGCATCATAATGCTGCAAGTGCATCTGTTGGGGTCATGTAACTCATGTTGCTCAGCCACATGGTGAACCTATCGCCCAGTATGGGACTACTTTGGAAGTATGAGCAACCGCATACACAGCAGCACTACGTTGCATGTATGATGATCTTCCTGGCTATGCGCACATGCATATGACACGTCACACTATTTTATCGTGTGTAAGAAATATCGGAAATAAGAATAGAAAGTCGTTTTTCAAACACCCACGCTATAACCGATACCTACTGTACTTCGAAGTACATTTCTTCTTTATAATACCGGTAAGTTCTGTTGAGGCTGCACTTGTGTGTTTGTTTGTGTATATGTGTGCGTGTGTATAATATCCATGTGTGTATCAATATAATCATGTGTGTGTGTGCGTGTGCGTGTGCGCGTCTGTGTGATCAGACAAGTCAAGTTGAACATATCAACCAGTTCACCACCACACAGAAGTTGCTGTGTCAAGCACGCGAGCAAGAACAGCACTTACAATCTCTTCTGCAGCAGTATCACGAACGCCAGCAAAGGGCACTCTCCAGTCAGCCTCACTTGCTTGCTACCTCCAGGTAAAAATTTAGTAAAATTAATTTAAACAATCGACGAGGAGACAATAGTCGTAAAATGGCAATAAATAAGATAAATTGTGCACTCATAACAACAGCAAAAATGAAGAAAGTCAAGTTCCATAACGTTTTCTTGTGACTGTCATCAGTGGAACGCCGTCACATAAAAATGTAATAACTAAAACACACACTTATATACATGTAGCTAATATGGTTTCAGGTAGAAATACAGCAGCTAACAAGTACAAAAAGCGAAGTTTGCAAAGTTTGCAAAAAGCGAAGTTTGCAAAGGTGCAAACATTGCACATTGCAAAGGTGCAAACTTCGCTTTTTGTACTTGTTAGCTGCTGTATTTCTACCTGAAACCATATTAGCTACATGGATATAAGTGTGTGTTTTAGTTATTACATTTTTATGTGACGGCGTTCCACTGATGACAGTCACAAGAAAACGTTATGGAACTTGACTTTCTTCATTTTGCTGTTGTTATGAGTGCACAATTTATCTTATTTATTGCCATTTTAAAATTAATTTAGGACGGACTTTGTTAACACACACCTGGCATTGAGTATGAATTTCATGGCACCGATTTCCACCTAAGGGCGCATGCTTCCTGACTCTTTAACTGTGCTGTTTAACTGTGTTCACATGTGCAAATTGTGTGCATGCACTCAGGTCTTCAATTACCTCTGAAGTGGAGAAGGTTGGCTTGCAGGCTGAGCTACAACAGTGGCAGTCAGCATTGCGACAGAACAAGGAGAAATGCCATCGACGACGGCAGGAGCGAGAAGATCTGCTTGCCGTTCATCAGCAGATTTCTAGTTTCACTGCTGACGTGGTACGTCAATTTCTTGCAACTCGCTTGGTAGATCTACCATGTGCAGCTTGAACTTTGCTGTTTGTGTAGTGCATTTGCTCAATGTACAATGGCAGAGTGTCCCTGAGAAATGTCATGTCTGGTATGGAACATTATTGGATGGCTACATTGCAACTTTCTACATTGGGTTTCCTCAATCCAAACACTCTTTCTACATTGTCAAAAAAATGCAGGCCGACGCACACCGGACCTCATCAACTTTCTTGGCTGTGATCAATGTTCTGGCACATCAGGCGAATTAGCTCTGTCTTTCTCTCACCCACACCAGCAGCTTGTACCTGGTGCCTTGTCGATGAGTGGATGGCCATATCTTACTAGGAAGACAGTGCTGATGTGTCTGATGTGCAGGAACATGTATTGCCACCTAGAGAGTATGCGAGACCCTGCGTTTGTTGACTGCCATTTCTCTGAATACTTGTGCAAGTAATTATATTGCTAGCATTTTCCAGTTATGGCTTGAATGCAGCAAGGCTCTGGGATACAACCTTACACATGTTTGTTCTGTGGTTTGCTATGTATGGCAGTTTGAACTTTCTGGTTTACAAGTTATGGAGTGTGTGTGTGTGTGTGTGTGTGTGTGTGCGCGTGCGTGCGTATGTGCGTTTGTGTGCGTGTGTATGTTTCTAGGAGAAGAACCAGACATTGATCAGCGACCTGATCCAGTACAATTCCAGTGCATTCGATCGCTTGAGTGAACAACAAACTAAGGTACTAACGTCACGCACACTAGTACTGGTGTCAACAGCATGGACGCATCATTAATAATGTAGATTACAAGTACATGTACGACACAAGTCTGCCCATTCAGTGATATAACGTACTGTATGTATCGTTGAACCTTTGTAGCTCAGCTGTAGCCTCATCAAAGTTGAGGTTCTACGGTTCTCTGGTGTTGGTGTGAAGCGGTCACGATCAGTCCAGGTGTGTGATATGTACATGTACTACACTGTAGTATCCACCTGAAGAGCAGGCAAAGGGGTTTACCCATGTTGTCGAGGAGGGCATCACTGGGGGGGGGGGGGGGGGGGGGGGAGGACGGGATTGAACAAAGATAAAGTGTATGTTGTGAACTTCCAGGATATTCTCTTGCAACTTATTCAGAAAATGGAACTTACCAATACATCAACGGCCACTCTGAGATATTTCCAGCTGTCCATTTCGGATGATGGGAGACTTTATTGAGTGCTGAATTTGCTGTACTTCAAGTATGTACATTGTAGTCAAAGGAAGATGCACGCTACATGCACTAGTAGGCTTTCTCCCGTTCGTTTTGTGTATGCTGGTCAGATTCGTCAGTATGCTGCCCGGAGCCTGTCATCTCACCATTCCGACTTGACATCTAGCTGTGCAGTGCTACGCGATCAGCTGCTGGAGTCTAGTCGTGCTGTGCTCAAACTTTCTCTCAACCGTCTCCTTGTTGACAACTCTGATCGGTGAGTGTTGCCAAAGAGTGACGTCACATTTCTCGCTGGTATCACTTTCCACCTGGCAAGCCTGCAAGAAAGTGGAATTTTCGTGCATGACATATTTCACTATTAACTAGGGGTGAAACAATTATACCGAACATTCGAATACTCGTTTGGATTTTTCAAATATAATCGTACTCGGAATAAATCAGAGTACTCGCTCATACATGGTACATGCATTTACCACAGAAGTCTGCAGTTTCAGAGCAGCAGTCAGCAGATATTGATGTGCAGACTGTGTGGTGAACATTTGTACACGAGTAGAGAGAGCCCAAATGACCCGCCAACCAATATACCCGAGAAAAGAACTGCCAATCTGTTCAATCAGGGTTGTATCATGTGAGTTTTGAGGCGGTTGGTGTGCGATTTTTAGGATATCTAGAATACTCGAATATTCAATCGGAGAAAATCAGAGTACTCAAACTCGGGATCTCAGTGCCAACTTTCACCCCTACTATTAACCAAGTCAATCTTATTAAATTGAGGAGGAGTGAATTTCCCAAAATGCTCTTCTGCGTTGAGCCTTCTTGCAGGCTTGCCAAGGGGAAGATTTGACATGCTTCTCGTATGCTCCGGATGGCAGTCGACAGGAAGTCATAGTGACCTCCACCAGTTTGGAAGAATCCGACTTCTCTAGCAACCGGCTTTTTGTCGTCCAGTGCTCACTTCACCCGTTTCACCTGCCTTTGTGCTTTTCCTGTGCTCAGCTCTAGCTGGTGTCCTGTGGAGGATCTAAGCATACACAGAATGCTCTGCAGCACAACCTCCGGTGCCAATCGTCACCAGGCTGTATTGCAGCTGCTGCGCTATCCACAGTTCAAGGTAATTACCGGTATTCATGCGTTGTGTATGTTGGATCATGCTTGTCCTGTTGTCTGTCTTACTGGTATGCTACGATGTGTCGCTCTGGGTTTCTAGAGTTCTGCCGTCATTGATGTGCATACCGGTACATGTACTACACTCGCATGTGTGCATACCGGTACATGTACTACACTCGCATGTGTGTATACCGGTACATGTACTACACTCGCATGTGTGTATACCGGTACATGTACTAAACTCGCATGTGTGTATACCGGTACATGTACTACACTCGCATGTGTGTGTGTGGCATGTACATACACAGTGCATGTACAGCAATGTGCTTCTGCTTGCGTGTTTGGCGATAGAATGATTAGAAATGATGTATGAATAACTTGGTGTTTCCCTCCACTGTGTGCTTTGTGCAGTGCTCCGATGGTCTGCTGCAGCATGTTTGTCAGCTGATTGAAAGCAGTGAGTCATTTAGTCACTGTAGTGTCCGCAGATATCCTTCTACTGTAAAAGCCATAGATATAACGAAGTGCTAACTCGAACGAGTTAACGGGGAGAAATCTGTCGTTAAAATAGAAATCGTTCTACAGAAATCGATACATATAATGTCCTATTTAGCGTTGAGAATGAGTGAGAATCGTTACCTCTTTATAAATGCTGTATGCACTGCTCTTTCCATTATTTTCTTCCTATGCAAGTCGCAACTCCTGTTTTGAGTTGTTTTTCTTCTCTCTTTTTCTTTCCCTACTGGTTGCTGTTACACTCACTGATCCTTATGCACAGATATACAGCATTCCCTCACTAGTGGGACCATTGTTATTAGGCTAGGGCCTGTTTTGGACTTCCCACTCTAAATAAAGAATACAAACAACAACAACAAACAAACAAACCTTTGGTACACGTAAACTAGTCAATTTTTGGGAAATCGTTATATATGCGCCTCGTTAGAATAAAGGCTTTTACAGTATTATAATCCAAACCCGTGTCAAGTACCCGGTGGATTGTGCACTGCAACTCTGATCAGACATTTTTATTTTTATTTTATTTTATTTCACCGTCCGATGGCAGAAGCCAATGCAAAGAAGGGGGCGTTAGCCAGCCATGGCAAGACATGACCCCATGAGCAGCAGGAAAGTGTTACTTAGGCTGTGTTTACATGAGGCGTTTCAACCCGGGTTGAGTTCGACCCGGGTCAGATTTCAACCCGCCGTGTACACAAAATGAATGGCGCGTTTACATGACGCATTGCGCTTGACCCGGGTTGAAATTTCGTCCCGGGTTGATTTCAACCCTCCCCCCAAGGGGAGGGTTGAAATCAACCCGGGTCAAGAAAGTTGTACTAACGTACTTCTGTGCGTATCTCGCGCCAGGTTTGAACAGCACTGCATATGCAAATTTCACGCGAACGGATTCACGTGACCATACAGGACTCTAGAAGTGGACTTTTGGCGGCATATCAGTATTTGACCCGGGTCAACTGTCTTCATGTAAACGCTCACCTATTTTGTCTATCGTACAGACTTTCAACCCGGGCTGAACTCAACCCGGGTTGAAATTTCTCATGTAAACACAGCCTTAGTTTTGTAGTACCCGGAGTACTTCTCATCTCAACCAACGTGGTTATGGATCAATACACCCTGGCTCCGGACAATGTGTGCGTACTAAGCAAGAGTACTACAGTATGTCTTATCAGAGTATGTACTAAGCAAGAGTATGTCTTAGGCCATGGTAAAAATTATCTTTGATTCTCAAGTACGCGCGCACCGATTTTTGGTGGCGCACCGACGATTTTTTTTATTTCTATGCATGCCTATGCGTGCATGAAAACGGTCAATGCGAAAGGCATGAATCCGGGAGTAGTAAAATACCGGTATTTTTCTAATCCCTGGCCTGAATAATAAAAGAATTATAAATTAATTTATGAACCTGTGACGTACACATGTGTGACCCTATCTTTGGAAATAAAAAAATTCGTGGGAATTAAAATAAAAAATCGCTCGCTCGCACCGATTTTCACAGGCTCATGACCTGAGAATCAACTTTATTTTTACCATGGCCTTATCAGAGTATGTACTAAGCAAGAGTATGTCTTATCAGAGTATTCACTAAGGGGCCAAGTCCAGACAGATCATACCTCTGCCAACACTTCTACCGATTTCTACCAGCCTCAAACCTGGTAGAGCCGGTAGAGGAAAGTAGAATCTACCGTTTGGGGTAGGGAAAAAATGAACACACATGTAGTTTCTACCCAAGCCTGTAGGTCAAAAATGAACGCCCCCTGGTGGGCTCCATTGTAGTTATGTTCTTATGGGACTTGTAAAGGACACAATCGGGTTCCATTGTCTTTTCACTCTCTTCATCATTATTGTGTTCTGTACCTGCAGTACATTTCTCAAGATACATGGCCTCCACTGTAGCCATCCATTATACCCATACATCCCTCATGACACTCTCAGTTGGCGATCTCTGGATGGATCTATGTGCGAACATGTCTGTATGCATGTGCTTGTTTTGTGTTCAGATGTCAATGCCAGCAGACATCTGACAGTGCTGTCGGCAGCCTGCAAGAAAGCTAGCAGCAAACAACAGCAGCAACTCATGGTTTCAGGTACTGTCTGGAGGTGACTAGGAATCTAGTGTGTGCGGTAGTAGTGGCGCTGGTGGGAGCAGGAGTCGCAAGGTCGCCTGCTTGCCAACACATTTGGAAGATGAGATAATTTTGGCTGTATAATCAAGTGCGCCATACTGTAAACCGTGAAATTATTGCGATGGTCTAATTTCTGCGAAATTCGCGACCGCGTGGAAATCGCGAAATTTAGACAGCGCGAAAAGGAGATCCATGAAAGGTTTAGCAAGAATGCCACAGTACAGGTCAGACCTCGCTATAACGTAATCTCTGGGGGATGGGAGAAATAATAATTATGTTATAGCGAGGTTTATGTTATAGTGAGTTGGGCACGCCAATATGCAATATGTATGTCAAAATGACGCTCTTCACTTACTCAAAATGCCGGCTTTGAGTATCAAAGCCAAGTTAGCCCACGCGGGCACATGCGTAGTGATGGTGTCATGATGCATATCATTAATTATTATTCTGTGCCGAGTATGGTCTGTAATTTGCATTTTGTTTGCACTGCTGCTACTGTTGCCTTTATGTGCGCTGCAGTAGCTAGTCGAATGCAGTTTGGTTGTCTTTTCCTTTGGACAAGAAGTGCTTTCCTTGCCAGGCTGGTAATTTCTCTTTCTTAGAAGGGAATCAGTTGTGTTCGGCTGCGTAGTCAAGCGCTTGCAAATTCACAACTTCGCTGACGCAGCGAAGGATCGCGCTTGGTTGAAATATTTATTTGTTGAGCGGGTAGATCGGGGAGCTCCTCGTCGCAGTCGTGCATGTCCTGGCGTTCATGAGGCCAAGCACGGACTTCTCGTCGCCGAGGACCAGTTGTTTCCGCGTCGACATAGCGCCTGGCGTTGACGCCAACTCAGGACTGGCTGTGATCACCTGCCAATACTCTAGCCAAAGCAGTCGACAAGGAGCGGAGGTGTGTACATCGACAAAGTAGGCTGGTGGTTTTCAACATGTCACTACAACTTTGAGTGAGGGACGATCGTTGATCATCTACATATCAGTTGTGTTTGTCAAACGCTTGTGGCCTTCGATGTGGATCTGACGATTTTATGCTCACGGTGCGTTCGTTACGCACCATCTCTGCCTACACACGGTATTCCACTATCTCAGGGAAAAATCCTGCCCCAGTCGTTCTGGGTATAAAACTATTCCGGCTAGCTGTGCTAGCCTGCACAAGAACCAGTACGCTGCACCAAACTAGGTGCTTATGTTATCTTTTGCTTAGTGGTTCGTGGCACGAGTTGACGTGACGGTTCTGCAGTTCTTTGACCACGTCAGCATCCTCGTCGCCACTGGCGCCGAGAAGGTGGTTCGCTCATCCCGGTGGTGACGGTACTTCGCATAGACGTCGACTGCTTGGAGCAGGTGATGTGGCTACCTGACGAGAAGTTCTCTACTATTCTAGCGGCTTTGAGTGAGTGGTTCATGCGCACTCGCTGCCCACAGCGGGATCGGCTGACCATGATCGGCATCCCGTCCTTTACCGCCGCCCCGGTGGTTCCTCCTGGCAGGTCTTTCATCTGCCGTCTCACCGATTTCAGCTGCCCAGCTCCGTCTCTTCAGTCAGTCTTCACCGTTGCCACAGACGCCCACTTGGACATCCACTGGCGTCGCTTCTTTGCTGCGAACTGGACTGGCCAATACTTTTTCCATGATGTTGAGTGGTCACAATCCCCTGACCTTGAGCTAGTCATGTCTACCAGCTGCCTCTGGTGTTGGCTTTGGCGGTTTCTATCATGGACCATGGTTTGTGGCATTGGGCCGCTGCGATGCAGGCCGCACCTACATTGTATTATGATTACTTACTTCCGCGCACTGGTCACAGCATTAATGACAGTATTCCTGCTGCCCGTTTCAGCCCAAGGTATATACCCATGAACGCCACCGTTCGGCATGTGATTCGTCAATTGTCTGCTCTGCCCTCAGTTCTGGGTGCATGGTCTACTCACACTCGTTATCCGAAGCGGGGTCTGCTGTCTTCCATCGGCATGCTTTCACTTGCTGCCGTGGTGGTGCCTCCTGGTCGATGTTGGCTTGGGTGGCTATTTTGTTGGCCAGTGGTTTTTGGGACGGTGGTGCCAGGCCAGCTGGGGCCGTGTTATCCTCCGTCAGGCTCTCAACTGTAACCAGGTGAGCTCCCACTTCATGCGCATTGCTGGGGCGATACTCCTGGCGGCCAGAGATGTAAGTGAATTGGTGATATGACGGGCAGGGCGGTGGCAAAGTACGTCTTCCGAGCGCTACATCCGGCAAGTGGCCGGCATGCCACCCCAATGGACAAGTAGACTAGCATCTCTACATGGCAGGGTGTGAGTGAAAATGTCTCGGTTCCGAGCACTGGCCCCCGCAGTCTGCAGCCATCCAGTACAAGTACCTTCCCCTAGCTCGCTGCTTTGAGTGCGGCCAGTGACGCGCTAGTTGAGGACTCCGTCTCGGAGCGTACCAAACAAACGTTAAGCCTGGTATTGCTGCATATTTAGAGTTCTGCCGTACTAACTCCGTTGTGGCACTTTCTCCTACTATTGAAACTACTGTATCCTTCGCCGCTAGTCTCTTTGTTTTAAGAAGTCTGTCTCTGTCATCAATTCGCGTTTACCTAGCGGCAGTCCGCTACTACCTGTTGTGCAATGGGGCGGCAGTGGATGTTTAAAGTCGGCTCGCCTAACAGCAGTGTTGCATGGCATAGAGAGACGGCAACCCCCCTCAGCGTTGGCTCGGAGAGAGCTTTCGTTGGACGACTTGATCCATTTCCGGCGATACTTGCAACGTTCAAACTATGCATATGTGAATCAGACTATGCTGTGGGCAAGTGTAACTCTAGCCTTCTATGGCTTGCTGCGTGCCAGTGAGTATCTGGCGCCTTCTATTCACACGTTTGACAGCCATAGAGCACGTGTGTGCGAGGCTCTCAGTATTGCACCCGACTCGGTCACGTTGCGGCTGAAAGTCACTAAGACGCGGCAATCCGGCGAAGGTGGAACTGTCACGGTGTCTTCTACTGGCGACGAAACGTGCCCGGTACTGGCAATGTCCGAATTCCGGCGCACGACAGCTCATGCCTGCAGCTCTACGCCTGTGTTCGATTTTGCTGAAGGGAATTACCTTACTCCGCCATGTTTGAACAAGATACTTCGTCAGGCTCTCAACTGCAACCAGGTGAGCTCCCACTCCATGCGGATTGGTGGGGCGACACTCCTGGCTTCCAGAGGTGCAAGTGAAGCGGTGATACGCCGGGCAGGGCGGTGGCGCAGTACAGCTTCCAAGCGCTATGTTCGGCAGGTGGCCGGCATGCCACCCCAATGGAAAAGTAGAGTAGCATCTCTACGTGACAGGGTGTGAGTGCAAGTGAGTGTTATGCTCTGCTGACATTTATTGATTCTGTGACGATAGTCGGTATACAGATCCCATCATTTAACTATAAGCATTAGGTGGGGTTTGCCATTGTCACTCAAATCGGCCGTGATAAGCAGTGTGATGGATGCGTTTGGCTCCAGGTGTCTGTTTTTGGGAGGGCCACGTATACATGGCTGCTGTGTTGCTGCTGCAATGTTGTGGCAGCGGCATCTTGATGTGATGGACTGATGTTGTAACAGTGTAGATCTACCCATTTGCTGTTGCTGGGTACCGTAGTTTGTCAATTGTGCCTGTTTGAAGTTGCCAGGCCAGCTTGTATTGGTGCGTTCCCGTTTGCTGTTGCCGGGACACCATGTTTATAACGACGTACCCGTTTGCTGTTGCCGGGGCCGTGTTTGTACTGGTGCGTTCCCGTTTGCTGTTGCCGGGACACCATGTTTGTAACGGCTTACCCGTTTGCTGTTGCCGGGGCCGTGTTTGTACTGGTGCGTTCCCGTTTGCTGTTGCCGGGGCACCATGTTTGTAACGGCGTACCCGTTTGCTGTTGCCGGGCCGTGTTTGTGTTGGTGCGTTCCCGTTGAGTTTGCCGGGGCACCATGTTTGTAACGATGTACCCGTTTGCTGTTGCCGGGTGACATATTTGCCAATTGTGCTTGTTACAAATTGCCGTGCTGTGCGCGTTATGAGGTGATAAGAATTATGAGCCATGCATTGGCTTGCTGTGCCCAATGCCAATGGCTCTTGCTAACACGGCAATTTGCTATCATTGGTGATATTTCAAAGAGTGACAAATGTGAAGAAAAAAAAAAGATAAGGCCACCTAGAATTAATTCGTTGTTTCGGGTCACTTCACTCATCCGTTCCAGGGTCGGTCGGTCGGGTTTATTTTTTAATTTTTTTAATTTTTAATTTTGGTTACTGCCATGCGCCATACCGCGTACCGCGTACCGGTACATAATATCGAATAGCTTTTGTCCATCAAGCCAGTCGACCAAATCTAGACGATCCAGCGCAGTCAGTATCCCTTCAGATCCAGGTCTCCAGCTAGCTCCAGGACCAGATCTTGACCTCGCTAGCAAACGAGTCTGATGAGCAGCTCTCACCAAAACCTCTGTCAATGAGCGACGCGGTGGCGGAGCTGATGCTGTTTCAGGACCGATCGCGGATCGGAGAATACAACGTCGTCACCATGCAAGCACTGCAGCCTGTCATTGGGCTGCTTCTGACTCTGAGATCGATGTCTGGTTTTAGGGCCTTTGTAGGGTCGCGTGCGTACATAGTCTACATACAACGTAGTCATGTACATGTACATTTGCATGCACAATAAAAAAAAACATTTTGCGGTCGGGTGAAAAAAGACGGTCGGTCGGGTGACCCGAAACAACGAATTAATTCTGGGTGGCCTAATAGGGACGTTTAGCAATGCGAAAATTCGAACTTTTCGTGGTGGCGATATTTCGCGAAAATCTATTTCGAAAAAGAAAACTTGTGAGGTTTAGCAATGCGAAACGACTTTTTCTCGAAGCTATTTGAATCTCATAGTACCGTACCGTATATGCAGCTCAGTCTCAAGCAGGGGGCTGTAAAATTACCACTCCCTGTAGTGAAATGCGTACCGAGAAAAGAGA